TATCTTGTGTTACATATTACCCAGCTTTTGTATAAAAGAATGATGATAATTGGACCTGGAAATTTATGATGAGAGTTGTACATGGTAACCAGTTTTTTTTCAAATCAACAAGGCATTCGTTTCCTTTTTGACAATACTTTAAATTTTTATAATACCCACTGAGGCTGGAATTTTTTCTTTACTGAAGCAAGTAGGCATGTACTTGCACGACATTACAAGAAAATTCTTGATTCATTTTATTTTGCCAGTTCTTGGGAACTCTGTCGTTTCTTTCCAGGTTCATACATATTAAGCTATTTTTCAAATAATTTTACAGTTCATTAACAAGAATTATAAAAATCTAAACAAGGGCATCATCCAAGACTTTTTCAAATTAAAGGCATGAAATTATAATTTTCTTTTAGTTATATTTATATAGTTCTAAGACACAAACGGAAATATAAACAACTGTCATACAAGTCGGAGGTTTAACTAGCTATAAAACCAGGTTCAATACACCATTTTCTTCGGAAAATGCCTGAACCAAGTCAAGAATATGGCAGTTGTTTTTCACTTGTTCCCTTGATTGATAGAGTTTGATTTTGTTAGTTTTTATGGACTTCCCCTTTTGAATTTGCCTTGGAGTTCGGTATTTTTGTTATATTTTTTTTACACATAAGCACTGCTTAAACTAAGTAATTTCCTGTCGTGACCGATTTCATTCTTCTTAATGATTCTGCAAATGAATGTATGATTTGAATTCCCTACTTCCTTTCAATTTTTTTGTTATCTTTCCTGTTTATTTGTTGACAAAATGGACCCCGAGGAAAGGACAAATTGGTCAAATCTTTGTAGGCAAAATATTACTTCTATTTTGTTGGATTTCTGATCTTCATTCAAATGTATGAGACAATGTATGTTTAAAGCAAGGTTTGTTTTAATTAGTTTTGTTTGAAGTCAACTTCTATAAAGCTAACAACCGATTAGGAAGAAAAACACACCTATAAAAATCCTGCCATACAGTGTAACATCACTTTGTAGCATAACAAGTCTTTTCTTGTCCAATTATTGAATCTACAAATTAGTATAGGTTTTTTTTTTGTTTGAACTAAATAATGATTAGGATATACATATGAAAAAAGTTTAAATGTTCTCTCAAAAATCATAATTTCTTGATATAGTATTGAAGGATTCGGACTATATTAAAAAACCGTAGAATTAGAAAACATCTTGAGTTTTAAAAGTTACTTTAAAATTCAAATCCGATAAATATACATTAATTGACACGCCACAAAAAGAAAAACCAATTAAATAAACAGGCATTCACTAAAGAGGTATTTTTAATTATGTACTTGTATCATGACCTTTTTAGAGACCACATGGTCAATTATGGCTAAGATCTTATATAGAAATACATGACTTGAATATGAATAAAATTATTTCATTGCATTCATTTGATGTCACATATTATAAATCACAAGCATTAAAAAGATATATACATACACACAAAACTCACTAAAATTATTCCTATTTGTTCAATTCATTAATATAATTTTTACATTTGCATCCATCTCTTCAAAATTATTGTTAGTATCATTAGGAATCATGCTTGAATATGTATAGTACTAGAAAACTGACATCTCATGATGTGGATGGTAGACATAATGATGAGAATTTTGAAAAGTATGGCTTGGCTCAATTTTAACATATTGTTATGGACCATACGCTACAAGTGAAATATGGTCCTAACGAATTTGACATCTGATCAAGAGTTATACTCATTAGTTTTTATCAAAAATGTGCAGTTTGTGTTTTTTTTTACCGGATGACAATAGTAAATAGTACCTCTTGGTAAAATTTTAACATGATGTCATGGACCATAAACTAATTACGAGTATAATCTTTTTGAATTTGACATTTACTGACCAAGAGATTTGATCCTTAGGTTTCTTTTTTATTTTTATTTTTTTAACTTGGTGATGATAAATGTTCTACTCGACAAAAACTTTTAAGATTTAAATCAGAGTGTCGTGGAAAAATAATATTCAGGTCAAGGCAGATTTTGACAGTGGAGATTTGCCGTTCAAGAGTCATTCTGCGGATATATGTAATCACTAGATCACCAAACTCCAGTTTACTTGATTTTCATGTTTTCTTCCTTCAAACTATTCTTGTTGCTCGTTAAACTTTGAAATTTAAAGACTTCTTTTAGAATTTTACAAATTAAAGGAATTGTTGATCTATGTTCAATTTGATTAAAACTAATGATTACATAAACTAAATTGATAAAAGCAATTATACAATAGACATAACAATAAAAAAAAAGTTTCATTTTCTGTTTATAATTACTATGATTTCTTTGGCGAATTGATAACTTAAAAAAAACTTGGGAGTTTTCTTACATAATCAAATGCCTATTTCAAGTCAATCTTGCTCCATTTCGTCTTTCGTCTTGATTTTTTGAGTGGTTTATATTCAAGCTTATCAAAATCATCATCTTCTGAAATTTCTTTCTGAAAAGAGCAAAATATAATCTTGAAATATTCAACTTACAATTTCAATATCCTTTAAAAATTGGTCGCGAGCATCAACGAAGAGACATTAATTGTCAAAGAAAAGAGGGACGAAAGATACCAGAGGGACAGTCAAACTCATAGATCTAAAACAAACTGACAACGCCATGGCCAAAAATAAAAAGACAAACAGACAAATAATAGTACAGATGACACAACATAGAAAACTAAAGACTAAGCAACACGAACCCCACCAAAAACTGGGGGTGATCTCAGGTGCTCCGGAAGGGTAAGCAAATCCTGCTCCATATGTGGCACCCGTCGTGTTCCTTATGTTATTACAAATCCGGTAAATAGTCTTATTCGGTAGGTCACATTCGTGAAAAGGGAAGGGTATTGTAGTTACGACATAAGGAACATATCCGATATCATCTGTGAAACGGTTATTCCATAACGGTCAACTAACTCGTGATGGCGTCCGCAAAATGCACATCTGGTGCAGAAAAGTAATACCGTTTATGTGATGCGATTTATAGAATACCACTTGGTATAATATATTATTATCTACAAAAATATTAGACCTTAGTTCATAACTTTATATCAATGGAGATCTAGACAGAAAAAAATACTGCAAGCACCATGCTATTTTTACTCACTCGATTATTAACATCGAACAACTCCTTGACACTTTTCTTTACATCATTGTGTAGATTTTCTAACTCTCGTAATTTCCATTTTATATGGTATGCGTTCCATGTTTTTAATCTGACAATTTCATGTAGATCTACGTTACACTCCTCATAGAGAATGACAAGCTTGCTTATTCTCATATCTTCATCAAACCGTTGTCTATTTTCTTGTGTGAACAATCCATATTTTGATATAAACTTGCTCGTCATTTCCAAAATAGGTTTTACAAATTTTTGATAGAATTGATGAAACTGACGAATATCAGCTAGTCTTTCCTGATGAGACGTAGAGCCCATATGTTCCACATATGTACGTATAGATGCTTCGGTCTGATGCATCTTATGATATGGCAAAGGAGCAGTAAAACTTCCCTCATTTCTTTCTGGAGGCATAATTGTTTCTACATGTCTATCTACATAAGATTGCAATGAATTTTTTGTTTCATCAACTGACGACGTGTACTGATTTTGATTTGACTGTACTGATAAAGACTCAGCCACAGGGGACAATTTTGAAGCCGCTGTTGTATTCTTATCTAAATGTGACCATAGAGAATTTGCAATAGACTTCATACTTAATTTAGTAGATACTGAATTATCCGTAACTCTACTGACATTCCTTTCACTTTGATGGTCTTTCTGATCGATAGTTTTATCTTCGAATATCTCATCGCAAAGGCCACATCTTGCCTCATTAATTACTATCTTTGCAAAAAAAGGATCATTTATAATTTCTCTCAGACCAGATTCAAAATGAAAAGTTTCCTTGATCATTTTTGCATTTGATTCCGTATCATTTGTTCGAATACTTTGTTTTTTGCGATCCTCAAAAACTGTTTTGACTTCAACGTCCGTAACTTTAATTTCCTCCATTTCAATTATATCTTCCTCACCTGCAGCCTCTGCTTTAAATTGATCTTGATCTGTAAGGATCTTAAGTGTTCCAAGAAGGTGGAATGTGTCCATTGAGTCTATTTTTGTGTCACATTCTCCTTGAATTATACATCCTTTCTGTTCATCCCATTTACATCGTAACAATTTCTCACCTCTGTTTGTGATAAAATCATGTAAGCTTCTTCTGATGTTATTTATACCAGTAGCACTTTTTATTCCTGCTAAGATGTTCGATATTCGTTTTGGATAAAGATCTGGATTGTGATACACTGACAATTGTTTTAGAACTTCAGTTTCAGATTGCGTCAACACTGCGACATCCATATTTATTACGAATATTAAACTCCAACAAATCACATTTTCAACAACTGCTACATCAGAATGAAAAGAACTTTCATCGGGTTTTCCCGACTCCATTTTTCGTAATTGACATGACTTCATGAGTCTCTTGAAGGCAATATTGGTTATGTTTATCTTGCTTCGTAGTCCAGAGACTAACTGAACAAACCTTTCTAGAATATTACAAATATCATTAATTTGTGGCATCTTTTTAAAATCATTACATGCAATCAGTTTCTCCGTTGACAATTTGTCGTCGAATAGTGTAAACTCTATGTACTTTACCGTGTCTAAAAATGATGATGAAATAAAAAACTGAAAGTCATCCCTTTTCCAACAGGTAGCGATTTTCGACTGCAGTACAAAACCAACAAATGTGTAATATTTTATCCATGATAGCAATAAATTCAGTTCTGGTAATGTATATTCTGTTCGCTGCTTATGAAGTCTCTCAACAAAGACACTGAAACTTCTCATAGCCCGGTAAGGGTACCGTTGCTCACGCATTTCAATGACACTATCAGCAAACGATCGAACAATAGATATAACTACTGGTTTATCAGTAAAATCAGGAACCATAAAACCAAGTTTTCGCACTTTAGTTATACTTTGATCGTAAGAACAGCTTTTATCTTGTAAATAGGTCAATAGTTCTTCTGATATCGAATTCTCGAAGTCCAAAATGCATTTTTTGACATCTACACTCAATCCAAATAGTTTATGATAAGTGATCATTTCTACAAAAGTTGAAATATTTTTTTCTCTCTTGTCATATAATTTATCTTCTGCTATTGACAAATGAGATTTGAAATTATTGTCCATTTCTTCTCTAACCTTCATAAGTTGTCCACGTATAAAATTGCATTCCTTCACAGAAAGATTATTAAACTGAGAAACAATCTGAATCATGTCTCGAATCAGATGTCGGCATGACATAAATTCACCAGTATTAGTTTTGAATTGTCGAAGAATTTGGTTTTCTTCTTTTGTAACAGGATTCGAGAATGTTTTGATACGATGAAGAAAATAATCAAGTCTTATTTTCTGAACTTGACTTTCTAGCAATTTTTCCAAATTCTTGAATGTGGAACAGTACCTATTTAACTCGTCAACAGACAATGCATTTACATATTTCTTCTCAACAATTGGTAATAACTTCCAATACCACTTGTTACTCTTCGTTAATAAATCAATGACTATTACACGACGAACTTCTCTTTTTTCAACTTCCTCTTTTACAGACTTATTCTTGACTTTTTTCATAAGTCTACGTATTGGAGGGTTTAGTCTAGGATTGTAAAAGAATTTTTCTCCCTCCTGTTTTACCCCATAATCTTCCAGCAGTTGTATTTGTTCTAGGCAGTTATTCTTGGAAGTTATCGTATAAAGGACTGCTAATGTATCTTGCAAACACTTCACTACTAAATCCAAATTGGAGGCCCGCTTTAAATCCGAGATATTCATCATCCAATTCAAACATTCCATTTTGCCCCATTTGTTTTCAAGTGGTTGTCTAGCTTTAAACATTTCAAAAGCCAGTTCAATGTAGTTTTGACGTCCAGTTAGTCTACCAAGAAGCAAATTTGCCTCACCCTCTGTATTGGTAAGGACATCAATACTTTCTTGACTGTTTCCTCTTTTGCATTTCAAAAGCATGCTAATCGATTTCTTCAAATTTTCTTCGACTTTTCGAGCTTCCCTGACGTTTGCACTACCATCGGGTTTAATTTTCATATGAAGGAGAGAGTCGAAGATCAAACAATGACTATATGAAAAAGCGTCTCTACTTGTATCACAGAATTGAAACGCATCTTCTGGAAAACCGTACTTCTTGTATAATTCAACAGCCTCTTTTGTTTCCCCTGTAAAATATTTATCTTGCATGTAATTGATCAGTTCAATAGCTATATTCTGCAAAGATCTAGTCCCCTTATTGGTTTTATAGAGCGATACTCGAGTACTTGCTCAAAATAGGAAAACATTTTACGCTTTGTTTGTCATTGCCTAATCGACGTAAAACCCTCTTCATCATTATCTTGAGATAGATAATTACAGTCCCAGGCATGATCTACCATTATTTGTAGCCTAAGTAAACAACGATTCAATCAATAATTTGATAAACACCTTTTGAATATAAATGGTTACAGTCTAACCAGATCAAACAACAAATACATTGTATAATCGTAAAAAAAACATTCAAAAAGGTGTTATATGATAAGAAGTGACCGATATAATGCCTGGTTGTCTGTTTTAACGTTATTTTGTTTGTTCTTCGATACGATATTTCGCTCTTATATGATGCTACATGTTTGTAAAGTATTTAAAAAATGGAAGATTTCGGAAGCATTTTAAATGACAATTTCGCACAAATATACGAAGCATTTTAAAATTATGATTAATTAGTGATTTCTATTGAATTCTCGGAGGGACGTTCTCCAAAAAATCTATTTATTGAAAGAAGGGGACAATGTCCTAACGTGAAACCGATTTATGGAGTTTTATTTTAATTCCAAACTCCATAGTACCGAACGATACTTGAGTAATCGATTACTCGTTGACACCCCTAGTAAAAATAGCTATATGACAACACAAAAAATACATAAAAAGAATAACCAAATTCTTCTAAGGTCAACTTTGCCTGGATAGTTGGAAGCTTAGTTTCTTAAAATTTTCTTTAATTTTAAACGGTTAATTACGAAATGTAACCCTCGGGAACAGTCCACCAGCAGTTGTATCGACACAGTGCTAGTGACTGCAAACGAAAATTTATGAATTTCGTGCGCCATAAACACTCTTCTGAATTTACCTTCAACCGTATAATACATGTATTGACGTTTGAGCAAAGAAATAAAAACACACATTAAAGATACTAGATAAGAACAGCAAACTCCAAATTTCTTTTTATTGAATCAATTAATGTTTCACATTTTCTGTTTTATGAACAGTGATTATCAATTTATTCATTACCTTTGTTGATAAGTATTCTTGCAGCATATGTGACGTATTCCTTTCTGCCATTATAGCGACTTGTTAAGAATTCAATTATTACTGATAAACTGCTTATATTGTCTAGGGCTTTTAACATTTGATCTGTATCTTGATGTTTATGGTAGTGACTAGCGGCATTTCTAATTATTTGATCCTCAAAATAACCATGGTCTAAGTTCTGTAATATAAAATGATAATCAAACAGTTTCAATATATGTAGACAATAATCTTAGTAAATTGTTCCACGTGTTGAGCAGGAACTGCCTATCCTTCTGGAACACATGAGCTCAACCCGGTTTTTGGTTGGGTTAGTAATGCTCAGACTTTATTTTCAATGATATATTTTGTGACTGTTGTTTTTCCTTTCGTAGATTTATTGGCATTTGCTGATTTGATTGGACTAATGCTTTTTATATGCCCCCTTGGTATCTTTTCTTTTTTTTTCAGTAAAAAGTATGAAAAGCATAACACTCAAAATCTTGTTGGCACCACAGGAATGGATGTAATTATACCTCTACCATTCAGAAAGCGGTATATATATATTTTTATCCGTCTATTCGTTTTTTCGTCAAACAACCCGTCAGAATTTTTATATGTGGATGATTACTCAAAGATGTTATATCGGATTGCAACAAAAATTGTATATATGGTTACATATATAAAACCCTTATTGATTTTGATATCACTAGGTCAACATCATGTTCGTTGAAAATAGACTGAAATAAGTGCAGGGAAGGAGTTTTTGGATAATAACTTTAGCACCTTATATGGGTTGTGTAATTTTACTTCAATAAATGCTAACATATGCGCGAAAGATCCCTATTGATATTGAGATCACCAAGTCTAAGGTAGTGGTTATAGTCACAAAAAGACTGAAAATAGAACATAACATGGGACTCGGACCTGGGGTCTATTACATGCCAAATGATAAACTACATGTCAATAACATTGATTTTTAAATATAGTTAATCACATTACATTTTCATAGCATGCTACTACCTCTTCATTTTCTTGGCTTATGTGTTCAGCTGTATGTACTTTAAAGCGTGAACAGGCTAACATTACATACTCCATGGTCTAATCTAAAATGAAATGCCCTGTTATGCCCGGGAAACTTCTAATTTGCCTGTTTGACCACAAGTTAATTGTTAAGCATACATTTTGACTAATTTTCCTTTATGCTTTCAGTAAATTTGCAGTTCAATCGACTTCTCCTTAATTCTTATTGAGGGAAGATGTTTCCTACTTGGAACTTGGTACTTTGAATTGTCATTTTCCCATTGAATGTCTGAATAGAGGCAATAGTAGTATACCGCTGTTCAATAGTGATAAATCGATTTAAAAGAAACAAATCCGGGCCACAAACCAAAACTGAGGGAAACACATCAACTATAAGAGGAGACAAAACGGAACAACAGAAACACTGAAAACAAACGCCAACATACATAGAAACGGACTATGTGATGACAACTGCCATATTCCTGACTTGGTACAGGACAAGAAAAAATGGTGGGTCGAACCTGGTTTAATGGCTAGCCAAACCTCCCTCTTATATGGCAATGTTAAAAAAACCCGCTAAAATGACATATTACGTGACAGGAATACAGTTAAAATAAATGAAAGAACATTCAGGACAGAGAAATACATAAATAAATAATATAACAGTACATTTCAACATGTAAACCACAGAATAACAACGAACACATAAAATTAATTTACGACAGAACACAAATACAGCACAATAGAATAATGCACTGTGCGTCACACGAATGTATCAACGCCACAAAAGGTGGCATCTAAAATATTTGCTGTCTACCACTGAAAAAGTAATCAAGTCACCAGCCCAGCAACAGATAATACAAGGACATCTGCTATTTGTATTTGCCTCACATCATATTTAACATATTCTAATATTTTTATCAAATCTAGTATTTTGTTTTACTTACTTGTAATTCAGATTCTTCAGGTTGTATTGGTGTTTTCAGAAGTACTTCCTTATGTTTTCTCTGGAAATAAAAAAAATATAAGATTTTAACATTAGGAGTGTTTGATGGATTAACTAACAGTTGGCCTGGTTCAACTATACATTATTATGTGAAACCAACATCCCTTATCTGACAAACTGTGTGCTTTATATTTGATTATATCATAACAGCATTATTTCATTGCATTTCTTATTTTAAAGGGACATATTTTTTTCAGTAAAGATTTATATATAGAAACAAATGAATACATTTGTTTATTCTTAAAAATCTTTTTCTTACAATTTTAAGATTCTACTAAAAATTTCAATTTAGATTTTGTTACTTACCCTCATGTGAGTCATAAGATTTGAAGTACCTTTCGAGCTTCCACATATTACAGAAGAGCAATGGTAGCATTTTGCTTCAAAACTTCCATACATTTTTTTTGGCATGTAAAAATGTTCAAGTATACTGTACTCCATTCTTGTCTGTTTTGACTGCTATATTTAAAATTTCATAGTGTTTAAATTATATACACATGGACAAACTTTAACATAAAGATTATGCATTAACAACATATAACCCTTGTCATTTTAATCAAGGGACATTCTTTTTCTTCAAAATTACGTTATAAATTTCATGCGTCTGAAGCGCTTTTCTGGATTTAGCGTTACCAGGAAAGCTCAAAGCTGAATATTTGAAAGCCAAGGATGTATAAGAACCGAAACAGTTGTAGAGCTATATGACCAAATTAAGTGAAAGGAAATGTCATCAGCCTAGGCTAAGATTATATTGTTAATTGTATAGAACAACATTTTTACAATTCATCATAAAGGGATAATTCCTATTGTAGTTGAGATCATCCCTTCTAAGATAAGTCATAGTAAATAAAAGTTCATTGAAATTAGACTGAAATGAGTACTGACGGGGGTTTTCCAGAGGATTATGGGATTGCAACCAAACTTGCATATATGATCTTATATCAGAGGAAAATCATTAATAAGTTTGAGGTCTATAAGTCAGTGTACTAGAATTAAACCAAAATAAGTGCCGGAAATAGGTTTACCGTTGATAACTTCCGGACTTAAAACAATTAAAAAACTAACACTTTATAAATTATATGCTTCCAAAGCGCTTTTATGTTTTTATCTTCATCAGGAACGCTCAAAGTTTTAAAGCCAATGATTTATATGTAGAAATATCTTACCCAACATGAGATTTGGGAACAAACCCGGATACATTGTTACATATAAGTAGAAGGAGATATCTATTGATTTAAAAACACTATACGACTTGGAGTATTGTATGCTTGCACTTAAAGGTTTTTCATTGATAATAATAAATAATAGTGATAATAATATATAAACTGAATGATCATTTTCATCTGTATAAAGAAAACTAGGAGAACAAGATATTCTTTGAACGTTGTGTAATATAAGTTCATTATATGTCTAGGTCTATGTTATACTAATTTTTTCTCTCTCTACTGGTTATATATTTTATAGGAACATGTCAATATTTTACCAATGTACAAAGTTTGACCGGAAAAGTTGTGAAAAACATTCTGTCAAAATAGAAATCACACATTCGTGAGTAGATTGATTTTAAATTACCCAAAAACAACTAACCATCTCTTCTTTTTTATAAAGCTTTCTATTGCAAATATTTAAAAGAAAATGTGGTATGATTGCCAATGAGACAACTCTCCACAAGAGACCAAATGACACAGAAATTAACAACTATAGGTCACCGTACAGCCTTCAACAATGAGCAAAGCCCATAGCGCATAGTCAGCTATAAAAGGCCCCGAAATAACAAATGTAAAACAATTCAAACGAGAAAACTAACGGCCTAATCTATGTACAAAATAATGAACGAAAAACAAATATGTAACACAGTAACAAACGACAACCATTGAATTAGAAGCTCCTGACTCGGACAGGCACATACAGAATTTGGCGGGGTTAAACTAGTTTGAAGGCGCCAAACCTCGCCATAATCTGGAACAGTGGTGTAACAGTACAACATCAGAACAAACTATAAAAATCAGTTGAAAAAGGCTTAACTCATCAAATGGATACAAATAGAAATACATCTAACAAAAACACAGAGTGGACGTGGACGGGTACTTGTACATCTAAACAAAAAAAAAGACACGAAGTACAGATCTGAGAGCACTCGCAGTTACTGATAGCTAGATCAAAGCCAATAACTAATATAAAAAAAAATCATGCATCTAAGACTTAATTATCAATCAGTACACATCAAACATCAAATGGATTTAGTGTAAAGTCGTCATAAACAGAAAAGAACATGACCTTGTGCAATGCCAAGATACAGGTATCGACATGAATGTACATATGTATATAACAATAAAATTTAGTTTTATTTTTATTTACTGATAACAAAATCAATATTAATACCAATGGAAACAATATTCAAAGATCTAATTACAGTGTTTAATTGGTAACCTTTTAGAATAAGTTTACCCGGATCGTTTCTAAATTTCCGGGCTTGGTAAACAACATCTCCGTAAAAATGAGGATGCGCTATCCCGTTTGAAATAAGTTTTCTACAGGTACAACCAAACTTCAAAAGCAAATCTTTATATCTATGGAATAATTTAGTAAAGGTTTTAAGTAATGTGTGGTAACGAAATCCCTGACTTAATAATTTACCAGTAATACTCAGATTACGTTCATTGAAATCCAAAACGTCACAACAGACACGGGCATACCGAACGAGTTGTGATATATAAACACCATAAGATTGTGCCAAAGGAACATCATCATCCAAAAAAGGAAAATTAACAATAGGGAACGAAAAATCGTACCTTTTGTTGTAAATTTTAGTGTAGAGTTTCCCGTGTTAAACTGAAATATCTAAATCTAGGAAAGGACCGTTTATATTTGATTTATTTAAAGTAAGTTCCTTTGGCTAAATTTCGGCAGTATATTTAGAAAATTCTTGATTATTTAACGAAAAAATATCATCAAGATAACGGTAAGTGTTGTCGAATTTATCAATTAAATGCAATTTAGACGGGTCTTTACTGAGTTTGGTCATAACAGTACAAGAACAAGTCTGTTATTAAAGGGGCGCAATTGGTGCCCATATGAATACCTACAACCTGTCGATAAACTTTATTGCCGAAACGTACATAAATATTATCAAGGACAAAATTAACAGCTTCAATCATCTCATCACACCTCCAGTAAGTATATCTTGCATATTTACCTTTCTCATTTGAGAAGAAGGCTTTAAATGAGTTGCAGCAAATATATTTGCATTCAGATTTACCAAACGACCATTTAATTAAATAGGAAAACTTTTGTTTGATAAGATTGTGTGGAAGTGTAGTGTAAAGAGTTGAAAAGTCAAAACTGTCAACAAAATCAAAAGGACCATCAAAAGCACGTAATTTATCTAAAACATCCAAAGAATTTTTTACACTCCAAAAATAGTTAATTCCACTATTTTCATATATTTTATTACAAAATTTAATGATAATTTCTTCGATAGTAGTTAAAGATTTAGTTAAAAGCATTGAAAGATTAGTTGTAGTACACTTACTAAAGGCCGAGACGAAACGATATTTTACTGTTTTTTTGTGTGTAGTTTAGGTAACCAATACATAGTAGGAACCTTCAAATGTTCAGAAGAGGCCGTAAGCTGTGATGTGGTTATGATATGTTTGTTTACTATATGACTCTCTTTGGAGCGCAAGGACTTGAATGTAGATGAATTTAAAATTTCATTCTTAAGAATGTCCGTGTAGTATTTACGGCATACCACCACCACATTGTTGGCTGCTTTGTCGGCCGGTACAAACACAAACCGCTTTGAAAGTACTTGAATAGATATAAGAAGATGTGGTATGAGTGCCAATGAGACAACTCTCCATCCAAGTCAAAATTTATAAAAGTAAACCATTATAGGTCACAGTACGGTCTTCAACACGGAGCCTTGGCTCACACCGAAAAGTAAGCTATAAAGGGCCCCAAAAAATTGAAGTTTGTTTCTTATTCTAGAAATAGGCGTATTATGTACTCTTTTATTTATTTCTGAATTATTTTCAAAATGTGATATTCGAATATCCACAACATTCATACATTTATTTAAATAAGAATCAAGAGATTTTTTATCAGATTTTTCCCGTTTACACCAAATTTTACAATTCGATGAAAGAGCGTATTTTTTTACCTGACGACACTGTTTCCAATCTATTTTAGATGGTGGACGATATTTTGGTCCTTTTTCAAAAAGTTTTTAACAACACGGATTTTAATCTTAACATGAATGGCTACAAAAAAATTTAAAACAACACGTTTAATAATTTCATGCGTCCGAAGCGCTTTTCTGGATTTACCTTCATCAGGAACGCTCAAAGCCAAACATTTTAAATCCGAGGGATGTATAAGTACTGAAACAGTTGAAGAGCTATATGACAAAAATACCTAAAACAAATAGCCAAATCCATCTAAAGTCAACTTTGCCTGAGGGAGTTGAAACATTAGTTTCTTTATAATTTCAAAATTTATAAACGGGCAATTTTAGAAAAGTTTGTTATAAATCATGTCAGTACCGAAGTACTGACTACTGAGCTGATGATACCCTCGGGGACTGATAGTCCACCAGCAGAGGTATCGACCCAGTGATGTAAAAAATTGAAAACAACACGTTTAATAATTTCATGCGTCCGAAGCGCTTTTCTGGATTTACCTTCATCAGGAACGCTCGAAGCCAAACATTTGAAATCCGAGGGATGTATAAGTACTGAAACAGTTGAAGAGCTATATGACAAAATACCTAAAACAAATAGCCAAATCCATCTAAGGTCAACTTTGCCTGAGGGAGTTGAAACCTTAGTTTCAAACAATGCATGCAGTTCTCAATTTTTTTAAACATTCAAAATCCAAAACAGATAATCAGAAGCCAAAAGCAAATAATCCCACATTTTAATAAATACAAGCCTAACTTTTATTTTCCCCGTTCAAATTGAAAAAAAAATGACACCGAGAAATGCTACTTTCATAAATCAACTGAGGTTTACATGCTTTTAATCAAAAACATAACTGTCAGCACACATCAGCCATAGCTAAAATTTCTCTCTATTCGAAAGATAAGTCTGTCCCAATTACCCCATATTACTGTCTGTTTAAACCATCCCATATACCTATGGTCGTTCAAGTCAATATTGTGTTTGCATGGAAAATCGATGCCATACATGAATACATATTTGATATGATTAATTTGTCGTATTCACAAATTCGTTTTTCTTTCTTCATTTATGGATAACAAATATCGTTTATAAAGGAGCAAAAATATATCTTTCCTGAGCACATGGACTAAATCTCTGTCTTGGGGGCTGGTGTTGCGGGGGCTGGTGTTGCTTAAGGGTTAGTTTACTGTGTAATATAATTGTCTACTCTTGCTTGTCTATATTTTCTTTATTCTCAAGAATGACCGTCTGTCCTTCTTTATCTACGTTTTGATTCGCGCATCACTTATGAGTCTGACGGAACGCGTGTCTGGCTAACACAGTTTTATATCTTGATATTTATGATGAGTTTATTTACAATTAGGATTGCCCTATTCAATCAAACTTCAAATCCATAATCTGAAATATTGAATGATTTTCCCTTTAATTTAAAAAACTAAAATCCTAATAAATGAAAATATTCCTATCTAAATGCCGCGAGTCTGGAGATACCTCCAAAAAGAACACACAAGTGTATCTAATAAAAGGTAAAATTAAACTTCAATCAATTTTATATTGAATGTAGCATGAGCGCGCTGACAATGCAATTTTCTATATAATTAAATTTTCCAAGGTTATAACTCAGTGCAAATAGTTGATCGACGCTAACCGAACCTTCACAAGACATGGGTAATATAAACCTTTGATGTAAATTTCATGAAATTATGATAATATATTCATGTAAGCTCTTAAAAAAACTGTCACGCAGATGGAAACTACGTATTTATGTGTTCGTTGCTCAGCGATGCGATGTGCAAAATACTAGTAAACGAAAAATTTAGCTACTGGTCATAGTCCATGAATATGACAAAGTAAACGACAAATAATTCTATCATAATCCCAATGCCACGTATAGGCATTGTTGTATGTTCCAAACTTAAAGTAGCAAATGAATATGACCGACAGAAAGTGACATCACAAATCAATTTGTGCACAGAATCGTCATAATTTATATAAATATGATCGTCCTGATTTTATTTTAATGGAGTAGTAGAAAAATACTTATATTTACCTTTCTCTCATTATATCTTCGCAATGATGATATTGCTGCATCGTACATGTTGAATTCTTGTAGAACATCAATAGCTTTGTCAAAACGACCAATGTGTTCATAAATTCGGCAACAATCTGTAGGTTTATTACTTCTCCTATACATTTCGGCAGCTTTCTCAAACTATAAAAGTTGAATTCAAATCCAAAGATTTGTGTATGTTTGCATGTCACCATGAATTTTGCACTGAGTTATGTGCAAATATATCTAAGTTAAATAAATATGTCAAAATTGAAAGAGAGATTATATACAAAACGGGAATAACAAATACAAAAATGGTCAATATCAAAAGGGATGTTTTCTATCATAGTATAAAGTATTAAACAAATTTTTATGTGAAAAAACCTAGAAAGTGGCGATTGATAAAAATAATGTTCTTGGTTTATAATGGTAGTGAGAGACCATGGTGATCAGAGTTCTCAACTATTTTTCTTTAAAGGCTACTCTGTCCAAAATTATAGATAATCCCTGTTATACTTTTTAAAATATTAAATATATCAAAACTTTGGTATCAACTGACCCTTAACAGGGCATATCAGTACTTTCTTAATGAATATTTCGTCAAATATATTTCTATACGATTTGTCTGTGTCTAAACTAACTAATGACATTTTTACCACGTCTTATATTGTGGTTTAACATCTATGTCGTCTGTCTGCTAAGTACCGAACGTGACCTATTCCCGAATATGACTGTTATACCGAGAGTGAATTTACATTGCTATACGACGTGTCTCGGTATTTTGTACATCCAACATTCATGAATTTATTTTTGATGTTTTTGTTATGGTTTCAGTTGAATAATGTGTTATGTCGTATCGTTTGTTGTCCAAATAATTATACAATTGCCTTTCAATACCATCATTGTCATATTCCCGAATATGACTGTTATACTGAATGTGAATTTGCATTGATGTGCGGCGTGTCCTCGGTGTTTTGTACATCCAACATTAACATTGTCATAAAGCGGGAGGTTTGGCATGCCATGAAACCAGGTTCAACCCACCATTTTTTTCTTAAAATGTCCTGTACCAAGTCAGGAATATGGCAGTTGTTATCAAATAGTTTGTTTCTATGTGTGTTGGCGTTTGTTTTTGTTGCACTTCGGTGTTCCTGTTGTTCCTTTGTTTTCCTCTTATAGTTGATGTGTTTCCCTCGGTTTTGGTTTGTAACCCGGATGTGTTTTCTCTCAATCGATTTATGACTTTTGAACACCGGTATACTACTGTTGCCTTTATTTATGTCTGAAAGGATCTTCGATCGCTGTTCGTAAAAATATCAAAAATATGTATTTTTCAGAAACTTGGTCAGCTTAATGGAATTTTTGTGAGACAAATTCACCATATATTTAAACAGTGTCGAACATGGTTGTTTTTTTTTCTTACCACGAATCCGTGAGTTAAAACCTACTGACGGATTTTAACAGTTGATTCTAATTTTTGTTGACACATCTCTATCTAAGGTTATTGGAGGTTTGAGCGATTACAAACATGATTGACCTCGTCCCATTTGTATATGCTTGTCCCAAGCCAAGAGCCTGTAATTCCATGGTTGCATTTGAATGCTTTCTGCAATATTTGAGCATTCCTGGTGACGAAAAATCCAGAAAAGCGCTTCCGGTGCACGAGATTTGTAAAGTGTTTATTTCATTTACTAGCAGTTGTTTTACCTTAAATCAGACCTTTTGTTTTCTATTTCGAATTATTACGCATTTTGTAATTTTGGCGGCATACAACTGTTTATATCTTTGTCATTGGTTATTTGATGGGAAGCTGTTACATTAGCAATTATACCATATGACCTTATCATAATGTTGATAGCTTTAGGGATGTCAATTTGTACCATCAAATGGACTGTCAACACCAATGTTTTAAAGAATTTATCAAAGTAACTAAATGTTATCTAAGTAACTTTCATTTCAAAAGGAATTTGTTTTTACCTTTTTCTCACTACTTGGTTGCAACTAGCCTTTAAAAAAAGTTCATTGATTTGTTATTTCCTTCATTCTTTTCTTCTTATTCATTGTATAATGTAGTCATATAAGTAAGCCGTTTTTCACAACGTTTACCCTATTATCAATGGATAAATCTGGGGGTTTTGTTTTCAGAATTTCGTGCCCATGGTTTGCAAATAAAAAAGTGTTTTTGATGCCATACCGACTCGCCCTCTTTTCTCAAACATTGACGATACAGGTACGGTAAAAGTATCAACACAAAAAAAAGAATGACTAACAAATTATTATAAAAAATAATTAAAGAAAACAAAAAACTTGTAATGTTTCCACATTAAAATTCGGAATCGATTCGTAATTTGTTCAAATATTAACGTAAAATTTAAGACAATTACACTTTTGTATTACCCGTTGTCTCTTTTCGTATATCTCAGCTGCCAGATCATAATGTTTAGCCATCGCAAGACAGTTTGCCGCCTCCTTAGTCCTTTTCAACTTCATAAACTTTAAAGTTGCTTCATATAATTCTTCTCTCATTTCACTGCTGTTTTGATTTTTTTTGCGTGCATTTTTATAATGTAAATAAGCAAATGCCAATTCTTATTTATAAATACAACCAGCCATTTTAAAACATTGTGCCGCCTGGTCATATAATTCCCTTTTCATCAGTTTCTCTCCGCTTGACATCCACTCTGCAGGTGTGGACTGAACCGTAAAATCTAAAAGAAATATATAATATGAAAGGGAAACGATATGTATATACAATTTTAGCACATATGGAATAAAAGGATGATAAAATATGTTGCCAGTATGGTTACTTTCATTCAAGTTTTTGAGTTTTCATTATTCCCAGTTAAAGGTCTTTTATATAGAACATGTTTTGTAATGAAAATATCAGTTTTATTGAATATGAGACTACACTATAAACACGTGGACATTGAACAAACTGAAAAGCTATCAATCAACAGAACAAGTGAAAAACAACTGCCACATTCCTGACTTGCCTAAAATGGAGGGAGAATAAGCAAATTTAACGTTTGTTTTAATAAAAATAATTTGAATGCATACATTTCAATTGTATTTTTAGAAAAAGCTTGATTATTAATATAGAATGTGAAGTCTAGCATTTTAATATAAAAATGAGACGTCTAGCATTTTAATATAAAAATGAGGTGGTGTGGCATGATTGCCAATGAGACAACTATCCACCAAAGTTCAAATGAAGTAGGTGTGAGCTATTATAGGCAACCGTATTGTCCGTTTTTTACATATAAGCATCTGAACATTTAAAAACCATACAAATAACTTTTTTAACACTTGCATGGATGTGGCTGTGTATCTAAGATAGAAATACCTACTTCTCTCAGTAGAGGTTTTAACTAAATCAAGAGCTGTAAAGTATTGAAACATAGGTGTCCTTTTTTCAACGTCTTCATCAAATATCCAAACGTTAACTCTGGCTCGAGTAATTGCTGTATAGAGCTGTTTCAATTCTGAATTTAGCACTTTATGTAACTTCTGATCAAACGTCAAAGGTCTTGACGAATATTCTATAATCATAAGAGCTACAATCTCATATTTCATATCACAAATGTATCATTTAATTTTCTTTCTATTGACAAAATACGGTCTTTTCCCTGCGAAATCCTAGCAAAATGTATAAAACTGTCACAACCTGTAGCTTTAAAAATAACTCGATAAAATATCATTCTTAATACGTTTTTAAAAATAGAACAATATAAACAACATCTTGGCAAAGTATGAACGAATTATGTCATTTGTTTGGTGTATATACTCTAATATTATTTCATTGACCATAGACAAATGTTTTGTCATAACATCAATCACATTCCAACAATGTATTTGAAAAATGAATCCAAGATGATAAAAAAACAACTGTGACCTAGATTTCGACTACTTAATATGTACTGCTTTTTACAAATCTATATATGAAAAACTATTCTTACTGGAGTTATATCTTTACAAAGGATACAATCAAAGATTTACCTGTTTGCAAAGTCTTGTCTGCTGTATGTCTCTGCAAAAAGTCTGTAACAACTCTCCATTCTTTCGAAGCCTGACACAAACAAGCATATAATCATTTGAGGTATTTTCAGTATAATGCATTTTTATTAATATATAATACCAACATAATAACAAAAGCACTGCTATGCTAGTATTATTTCAATCAACGTTTAAATCACATTTGATATACTAAACGGTAATAAAATTAGTAATAAAAGTTACCAAAACAGCGTGGCACAACCATTGTTGGTTGTTATTTTATGATTAAATCATTACTTCAATCTGAGCAAATATGTTCTTTAAATAACGAAATATAAGAACTAACCACCTTTTAAGCAGAAGTGTTAACTCTTTGTTTCTTGATGCCAGCTAGGCCGAAATGGCTGATTATTGGCAAAACAGATATAGAACAATAACTGATGCTAAACATAGAGGGTAAGTTCATATGAATATCGCGTTTGTTTGCAACCTATGTACAGACCTGTGAATTTTTGAAAATGTTGAACAACAGTATATCATCAAACTCTAGTCCTTTTGCTTCATATAATGTTAGAACAATTCCAGTTTTCAATTCTTCCGGCACTTTGTCACGTGCGTCGTCATCAACTACGAGAATCGCTTGGTGAGCACCAAACTCTATTTGTGATGTGTCTTGTTTATGTTGGCATAACATTTTTATTAAATCATCCGGAGAATATGCATAAAGTATGACAGGCTTTGGGCCATTAAAAACACATTGTTCATCTGGAAGTTTGTCAAACGAATCCGAAAATAAGTCAGCTAGAATGTCAAGAACGCTTTTTGCTAGTTCTGTAATACCACTGTGAGATCTGTAGTTATGTGGAAGGTTGTGCACACGTTTTAGTATTGTAGAAACATCAACCGCTTTCATCTTAAAAACATAACAAACATATCTAACGTTAAGTAGATTTCCATCTAAAACCGTACAAAACAGTAGTTATATTCCACAAGACGGAAATTCTTATATTCTTTGATGTTAAAGACATCATCTTTATATTAATAAACACGTCTATACAATTTTACGAAAACATCCTTAATTTACAATTTTCTTTGAATGTGTGAACAAACAGCACAAAAATTTTCTAATATGAAATTTGTCAATAAAAACGTACGGTAATCGGTATTCTTCGCACCTACAATACGTCAACTCAGCTCATTGTTTGTTGATACAATCGTTTAGGTTTAATGATGAAGTTTCACTTTTTAAATGCGTGTATGCAAATATAAAAGGAAGCACTACGAAGTAAAATTGTTACCGCTAATGTTATAAATAGATCTTCAGAGGTAAAAAAAAAACCATATACGTGTAACAAGTCAAACTAGCTCTCCAGTAGTGAATTAGAGGCAACAATAATTCCCTATGTTCATAAGTCCATAGGAACATGAAAATCATTGTAAAACATAACTGTTGAAATCGTAAAAGGAGCAATACCATGTGTATTGGGTGGACATTGTTTCCTGTTATGCATGATTAAACAACCTAATTTACAGAACAGACGATTTTTTCTCGAATCTAACGATCTAAGACACCGAAAACATGTCGCAAATAAGTTTAGACAAAGGCAAAACTAATCGGTTAACCGATTTGTTTTGTGTCAGGAGGAGACCACGGTTAATGAAGTGCGCATAATCAGAACATGCACGAGCCTAACGTTTCAACTGAGATATGTAAACGCCATACGATAGGGCAGAAGTAATGAAACTGCTGAGGAATTGGAAGTTGAGATCATCACGTTTTTCCTGGATGAATTAATCCAAGATATGAAGCAAATCGTTCTAGTTTAGGCAGCATCCTCAATTCATGTGAGATGCAAGCACTTACTGAAATGAGGGTTATTGCGTGGTAGTATGTCTTCAATATATCTGAAAGGGAAATAAAAGAACGTAACAACATACGCTTCATATCAGCACAAACAAGTCGTCCTATAGGAGTGTACAATTTATTCCAATTGGAATCCGACAGTTTAATATAAATCCATTAAACTCGACAAATTTGATGTCTATCAAAACTCCATCATTTTGATGACATCATCTTTCTTGTGCTTGTTGTTGTAATCAGTGTGTTTCTTCAATAAGGAATTTTCCATAACCTTAATATATGCAATAACACTTTACTGATGTTAACATCTCATAATTCAATTAAGAAGATAAATCAAAGTTATAAACAGAACATCTGGGGGAATCGCAATATAGTTATTAGTTCTAGTACTAGTGACTAAAAAGCTTGTTTTTCCTATGAACCCATAATTACTATTTGCTCAATTTATTGATTTGTTTCTAAAATGCAGAAGAACTCCTTATCAAACCCAATTGAGAAGAAATGAATGTCTTTGTCTTGAACAGTTCTTGGAGACAATTACAAATACAATGATAAATAACAAACACATAGTATGAATAATGGTTTAAAAAATGTCATAATAATGTCAAAAAAATCAGATATTCAACATACAACTATATTTTAAATATATGAAAGTATATTTGACAACTAAGGAGAACACGTTTTTCAAAAACTTTCTTTGATAAAGAGCTGAAAATGGTCCAAATATAAAACAACGATATCAAAATAATATACGTGATTTGAATATACATAAAATCGAATATATACCAAATATCACATTCATAGTAGCAAGAATGACTAACAATGAATAACATAACACGTCAAAATGTTGAAATTTGCTCGCAACTTTTTTAACCAGTTACAAAAAGAGCAAACTTGCCCACGATTCTCTTTTACTTGTGTATTCAACAAATCAGCTCCATATCTGAAAGAAAGCGTTTCAGGGGATATTTTCATGCGATTTCGAAGTTCAATTGTGGTATCTAGGTATAAAAGGTTAGCCTTTGATGAAATCAAGTGTTCATAAAACTCATGATTCAATGTTAACTAAATATCTACAGCAACTGCAAGAAAAGCTAAAAAAAATATAAAAACGGTCGAGTATTTTCCGGTAATTTTCCATGCACGCATGTTAAGATAAATCAAACTTTATAATATAAACAAGCTTACTATTTACAGGGATAGCAAAAACACTTGAATAGGTTGTGTAATTTTAATACCTGATATGTTTTGTGTATAACATTGAAAAAATCTTGGGTTTTTCAGCAGGGACAAAATTTAAAAACTAACAGGTATACTTTTAAGGTGATCAATTGAAAGGTGATCTGAATAGATCCATAGAGGTCAAAGCAATTATTCATTTTGGAAAATTATATGATACTCGCCATTTAAATTAAATGTTTGTGTTGATTTTATTCATATTTACAGTTTCAAAATAAACATATTGTTACATTTCAAACTATTCAATCTCAATATAATTGTCGAGAAAACAGACACTTACCGTCAGGTTCTTGCTTGTGTGGTGGAACAGACTAACCAAGTCTTTAAACCGGAATGAAACTCCTTTCATAATACTCTGAGCTGTATCACCAGTAAGAAACATTCCATTTGGACTTTCGCAAAGGTTGATCAGAAGATACAGTTCAGATTGAGTGAAATCTTGGGCTTCATCCACATATATTTCATGTACAATCCATTTTCTTCTTTTCTGCTTCATAAATCGTCGATACAGATTTTTAACTACGTCTGTTTGATCAAATAAACATTTCTGTCGTCGCATATGTTCGTATATCAAAAATAGTTCATACAGAGTTTCCCGATCGTCAACAAAGGCTGGTGCTTGCTTTCGTCCCATTTCAAAGTACTCGGCTTTCGACAGATAGTCTTTCTCAGATGCAAGTGCCTCAAAAGAACCTTTAATAAAAGACATTATCTCTGTCCAAATCAATAATGGGTGGTATCTGTTTTTGTGTACCTTAGTTTTTCCAATCATTTGCGGCCACAAAAGTTCTTCAAACACATTATAAGTAACTTCTCTTCTAGGGTCAGGTTTTCTTTTTTTCTTTTGGGAAATCCTTTCTGACTGTGATTTGTGTTCTGTGTTGCTGTTCTCATTTTCATCGGTGCTATCACTGTCATAGTCCTCTTCCTCCATACAAAGTAATATAGATATGTCATCAACATCGGTCCATCCTTTAATATCAGCTTTTAGACTCCCATCATCAGGGTTTCTATCAAAATAATATGGCGCTCCTAATGTTGCATCAAACATCAACCAAAAGTACTTTGCTGTGACAAAAAGGGGATACTGTTTGTCAGAAAGATCTTGAAGACGATTTGGCAAATCTGTGTCTTCCAGTATCCAATGTGCAGCAGTAATACCATCACCAATCATAAATCCTCTAAAACTCTTTCGAACTTCTGAGCAGAGTACACCGTTTTTGGTTATGAATACCTGACGCAAATGATGTTCAACCTTTTCTAAGGTTTCCGAGTCAACTTGATCTGTCATATATTCAATTGCCCCGAAATTTGTACTGTCCTTTACAGCCGACATTCCATTTGTGTTACCATTGGTAAAAGTATCACTACTTATCATTGATCTTACCTCTTCTGTTTTTTCTTCTCGAAACTGCATGGTAGGATCTTGGATGCATGTAACTACTCTGTGTCTGTCCTCAGATGGATGCATTATTTCGACGTCGTCAAAAGGTGTTTCTTCTTTCGTGGTAGAAGCACAATTGATACCTATTAATACTACATTAGATCTAGAGAATTTGTCAATGGGTATATTTTTTTCTAGTTTCTTAATAATTTGTAAATTTATCAACGGTAAATATTTAAGATAGGTAAGATATAATAAGCATAAGGATAATCATACTGAGTATATATCTCCCAGTTGATACGATATTCCATTGTTTTATTTCATATCATGATTTCCTTGATAGAGGGTTGCTGCTCACAAGGAAGCTAGTTAATCAAGAGTTTCAAGTGGTGAAGTTGAAATCGTCCCTTCGTAAGTTTTACGGACGCCATTACGAGTTGGTTGACCGTTATGGAATATCCATTTCACAGATGACAACGGATATATTCCAATTGTCGTAACTCCAATCCCTTCCCCTTTTCCCCGAATGTGACCTACCGAATTAGACTTATCACCGGGTTTGTACTAACATGAGCAACACGACAGGTGGAGCAGATTCGCTTACCTTTCCGGAGTACCTGAGATCACCCCAGTTTTTGGTTGGGTTCGTGTTGCTCAGTCTTCGGTTTTCTATGTTGTGTTTTGTGTACTTTTGTTTGTCTGTTTGTCTTTTTCTTTTTAGCCATGGTGTTGTCAGTTTATTTTCGACTTATGAGTTTGAATGTCGCTTTGGTATCCTTCGCCTCTCTTTTATATAACTACTGATATAACAAACATAATTTCTGATTTAAACTTCCTAACATGAAGTATAAAATTGCCACGTTACATTGCGCAACCTGTTACATTCAAGATTGAAACAGTTGTTCGGAAAAAGCGTTAAAATATTCCTTCCTGTTTCGGTTCTTATATTTCAAATAATCTCCTAATCATACAAGGTAAATATTGTTGAATTTGACTGATTTTTAGAATAACCTTCACCCCGATTGCAAAGAGAAAAAGTTAAGGAATTAAATGCATGAAATGTTTGGAAGCGTAAAAATTTTTAAAAAATCTACAGAGACTAGACAAAATCATCGAAGATCATCTTCACCTGAAGGAATTATAACTTTCGTTTTGGTACCATTGCCTTATCTTAAAAACAGTTATATGCATAATAAAATACATATGTAAACAACGTAATATAAGAGTATTGAACACACGAGTGTATAAAGTCCCCGCCGGGCTCACCAAAAGCAGAATATACAAAGTAGTTGTAATTTAGACTAAGATGGGTGATGCCGACTTCGGTGCACAAGACTCCTGTTTAAAGAATAATTCTACCTATGACTATAATAATGCAGAGTCTGAAAGAAATAAAAAATTATATTTGAATATAAAACAAACCTTTGTGACGTTCACTATTTTCCACTATTTCTACGTCTTTTAAGGTTTTGTTGTCTAGATTATGAATAGACCAATACTGTTGAAACCGGTACCAAAGACGATAGATACAACAAGTTGTTTTTCCTGTGCCACTGCGACCAATAACTACTACTGGTGCTGTAAATGGCAAGTTAATGATGTGATATTCCAAATCTGTGACTCGAAAGGGAAATTCCCCCTTACGTTCATGTAAAATTGAAAAGGCAACATTTGATGAAAACGTATAAAACTTTATTGTAGTGTATTCGTTGTCATTCGAATTTGCTGGAGGATACAGAGTTATTATTTGGCATGGAGCACTATCCTCACGTGCAGGCTCATAAATAATAGGATGTTTCACATAAGTATTATCGAAAGTATTGTTATTAATTTGTATTTTTTTCTGAATTAAACTTTTTGATCCTTTTTCATAAGATTTAACAATTCTTTCCACCGACTGGTGAATATTTTTATGTTCCATGACAACATCCCAAAGTATGATTACTTGGGTGTATAAAGGATTATTTTCCGTGGTTAATCGTGGTGAAAATGCGATCGCAACTTCCCAGAGAAGTCTGCTTCCTTTACTAAGTTTTGCCTCGTACAGGCCAATTATTTTGGAACGTGTATGTAATTTCTTACAAAGAACGTTTGTCCATTGTCCAGACACAAGAGACTTAATTGTTTCTTTTATCCTTTTTTTTATGCCTGGCATAATGTGGGTGTCTCTCATACACTTCCGAAAGTCATAAGTATATTGCATCTCCCATACTGGATCTTCAAACATTCCACGTGTGATCTAAAAAAGACAGAAAAGAAGTAATATATAATCTCAGACAGTTGTCATATGTTATTGCACTAGAAAAATTAGGAATCATGCTCCAAATGCCCATAAGTACATCCCTACATGTCAACACTGTTAAATGAACTTTGTTACAATCAATTGGAGTGTTTTTAAATTTTAATATGTACGCACTTATATCCATAATAAAGTCAATATAAAAATAATAAGCCATGAATAACAAGTCTCACTGTATCTTATCTATCTAAAAAATGTAAAAAAAGGCAATACAAATCGTAAGACATAGAATTTATCAAACTATCATGACAAAAAAGAAAAAAAGCTCACACACACAACTATAAATTGAACAAAACGTAACCTGTCAAACATCAACATTGAACTATAGAACTACTGAAGTAAAACTGAAGTAGAATAATGATACAATCCTTCTTGTTACTCTTGATATTTGTTGTCATAAACAAAAGAAACAGGACAAGTTTGTAGCTACTTGTGACCAGGGTTGGCAAAAACCTGGGTTTTATGAGTAATGCCCACCCTAGTGGGAAATACTGGGAAAACCCGGGTTTTGTTAAGTTTCACCGGGTTATACTGGGCAATAATGGGTTATATGAAATACTAGCCTGAATCTTTAAGAGGATTGAGTGATCTTTTACAAATGCAATATCTAAAAGATTAATATATTTAAGACAATATTCAAATTTATGACTAGTGGTCTCAGTTCATAAGTTCACTTGTTCGAGACTTAGTATAATATGTATAAATTTGTGAATGTATTGGTCCAGCAAGTCTATGACATACATTAACACGCATACTCTGACAAATGTAAAAAGTTTCCTCAGTCAATAGATAATTCCCCATTGTTTGTTTTACATTGTCATTCCGTCTAAATTTGTCAAATTGTTAGCATACGTCCTATTTTTTATTTGATATGTAAATATTTTATATTTAGAGTGATCAATTCATTATAAGTTAGGAAAATGACTATTCGACAATTTTTAATCATTGTTTTTTTTTGTGTTCTTAAAAGTTTTACACAGTTCTCGCATATTTACATGTACATCACTAAATAATAAGTTATTATTCAGATTATAACATGTTTGTTTACATTACAATAATAATTCTTTTCGTCTTTTCAAGTGTGTGTGATATGTCCTCTAATGGTATTTATTTATCAATATTATTCATAGCAATTAAATTGTACAATTCACTAATGACAATACGCTAAAATACATTAAAAAAAAGTGACTTTAAAGTAAGCAAGTATATGTCACTGTGAGACTTCAACAATGAGCACAATCCATGCTGTTAGGTAAGCTATTGTAAACCAAGACATGACAAAACGTAAAACAATTCAAACGAGAAAAATCTGGTCAATGATAAAACAATAAACAAAAAGAATATGTCAGACAGCAACCAACAAATACCACTGAATTACAGGCGCCTGACTTGGGACAACACATATTAAATGTGGCAATTGAAATATGTTTGTGAGTGCTCAACTTTCCCCCTAACTTGTGAGTGTTAACGTATCTTAATTTTGTTCCTTCTAACAGAATTTCCTATGAACAATATTTTATATTTACTGTTTGCAAAAGTGGGAATTATCGAAATACTAAGGATTTTCTTATCCCAGGCATATATTACCTTAGCCGTATTTGGCACAAATTTTTTGGAATTTTGGGTCCTCGATGCTCTTCAACTTTGTACTTGTTCGGCTTTCTAACTATTTTGATCTTAGCGTCACTAATGAGTCTTATGTAGACGAAATACGCGTCTGGCGTATCAAATTATAAGCCTGGTACCTTTGATAACTATTATAACCAATGATATGATATGCTATATATATAAGTCTGAAAATTAAACCCAACAGTGTTAGAATTAGATTTTTATGCTAACAAATTTTCGTCCCTCAACGGGATTTGAACTCACACCTTTGATACAATACAGCACCAATCGCTTAGCCTCATGTCCAGAGCTCTAGACCACTCGACCACATCCGCTATATAAAAATATAACTTCAATAGTCGTAGTGTTACCTTGTCACGTAAGGCGAATCTAGAGATCTTTCTGTGTTGTGATGTTACACTATTGTTTCAGATAAGGGTAAAGGTTTGGTAACATTAAAACGTTTAAACATGCTGCATTTGATTGCACCTGTCCTATGTCAGGAATCTGATGTTCAGTAGTTGTCGTTTGTTGATGTGGTTCATAAGTGTTTCTCGTTTCTCGTTTTTTATATAGATTAGACCGTTGGTTTTCCCGTTTGAATGGTTTTACACTAGTAATTTTTGGGGCCCTTTATAGCTTGCTGTTCGGTGTGAGCCAAGGCTCCGTGTTGAAGACCGTACTTTGGCCTATAATGGTTTACTTTTATAAATTTTGACTTAAATGGAGAGTTGTCTCATTGGCACTCATACCACATCTTCTTATATATATAGACATAAGACATGTGTTTTAAGCGTGAGTAGATGTTATATTATTATTTTTTTATATATACACTGTATATATATATATATTTGTTGGAACAAATACTCTATACCCTTTCCGTAAGAAACAAATACTGTAATTTTTTCTTCCATGGGAAATAATATTCCAGGATATTTCTTCCTCTTGGAAACAATTTTATAAAGGAACTTTTGTTACATGAAAAGTGTAAGAAATAATATTTTTCTACACTTACTTCAAATTGAGTATCATCTAAATTCACGTCTTCAATGACACAATCATCACCATGACCAGATTCCTGAAATATCATAATTTAAACAGTGCAATTATGTTTGCATTAATTTCTTTTTGCATTTTGTTTATTTTTGACAAAGTTGTAAAACTAAACTTGTGCATCGTGAAAATACCAATGCTATTTTAGCCAGTTTGCTATTGATGAAATACATCGAAAATTATTTTAACATGCATAATTTTCTAATCAAACATCACAAAATGTTACATAATTAAAGTAAAACATACAAGAATCGTTTTGACCAAGCATCTGCATTTTTTAAGAAATTATTCGTCTAGAGTGCTTGGGTAAAAGTACATGCCGTGGATTATTTTTAACTTTTTGGGGTCCAAAGATGTCAGCCTCATTTCGTGACTAAGTTCATTATACAGACTTACAGTAGTCAAGCCGCGCTCGGTTTTATCTTGGTCATCTTTTTCCACTTTAGGTTTTTGCTTACTTTCCAAACTTTTTATCATTTGTATTATCTGTGTAAGATTTGATTCTTGAATCTCTGGATCTTCTTTAATTTCTATATCGGGTTTAGCTTCTACCGGTTTGTCATTTGCTTCCTTTTCGTTTGATGGATTGATCTCTGAGAAATCACTAGTATCTGATTTCTTTCGTACAGGTTTAGCAATCAAATTTGTCACAACACTTGCGCTTTGTGTTTTAGGGATATTCGGGGTGTTACACAGTGTCTGAGATTTCAAAGCGTTCGTTTCATACTCAATTGCTTCCTGAAATATTTTGGACCGTGGGTCATCTACTTTTACATAATCATGGGGATATTTTCCTTCTTTGTTTTGAATTTCACACCGAACTTGCATCTTTTGTAAAATATCAGCCAACCTCTGAGTTGTTTTGTTTAAATTGTGTTTGGCAATTAAGTGGAACAATGTGTCACCATTTTTATCTCGTTGTCCAGGGTCCAAATATTCATATCGTATAGAATTTTTGTCATATAATTCCATACACTTCTTGAAAACTGATATATTATCTGAAAGAAAGATTGAAGTAAAGTGTACAACGTGATCATGATAGATTAATTATAATTTGTATAAATTGGCCCCGTAAATGAAAATAATACTTAAATAATTGTGTGCGTACGTAACGCTTATCTGGATTTACCTTCACCAGGAACCTCAAACCAAAAAAAAAAGACTATAGATATACTACATTATGTAATATAAGCTATGTAACCAAAAGGGACCTAAAAGAGCCAAATTCATCTAAGTCTAATTTTATCTGAAAATGCCGGTACTTTTGTCTCTTACTAACTTTTAAAGTTATCAACTCATTTTTGAACTAAATTGTCTACTAGTATATTATAATTATGTGCATTTATCGATAATATAAACATAATCTTTTTAGAATTTCACTATTTTGCATTTCAGGGACAACACAATAGCTCCTACAATAACAAACACAAGTCATAAATGTTGTCAGTGGTTTTAGGGCTTCTAGATCATTTAGAACCCTTCTATCTATTACTAAAAAATGTATCACAAAGAGATTCTTTATTCATCAGTCTATTTATTTCAAGGATTTAGGCCTGTAAATGTTGTCTTTTCACTTAACAAAAAAAAAAACCTTTTTAAACCAAAAGTATTGTATTAAAGTCTTCCTGACATGCAAGGTTATGTTCTGCGAGTTGAACGTGAATGGGATTCCTTACGAACGTTCCCTACCTATTGAAACAGCTGCAAAAAAAATGCGTGTACATTTTGACACATGTCTCTATCGGCAGTAATAATAGTTTGATATCATAGTCCTTATGAAGAATTAGTTCAATTATTATTGCCACCTGTGGAGCAGGATCTGCTTACCCTTCCAGAGCACCTGAGATCACCTCGGTTTTTGGTGGGGTTTGTTAGGGGTTATACTGTTGTTTGTCTTTAGGTCTCTTTTAGTTTTTTGCCATGGCGTTGTCAGTTTATTTTAGACTGATGAGTTTTAATGTTCCTTTGGTATCTTTCGCTTCTCTTCTTGAAAAAGGCTACGTTTTTACGCGTCTTACAAATTATTATAAACTTCATCTAACATACAACTATGACATACATGGTTAACCTTTCACCAAGAAGAGTTGCCAGACTTCTTAAGTCTTATGAAGAAAAAAACATTCGTCAATAAAACGGAGAAAAACGCAAAAAAAAAAATCATCTGGAGGTCAACATATGTTTACCGATATCACAAACTTGTCAAAGCATTTACTAAATTTTATCATCGGTACAAGGACATCATTCGTAAATATAAATCAACGTGCAGACATCTTATACGTTATGGTATTCCATATCCAATGTTTTATGATAATATTCTATACAAAGCACAAAAATGTCGTCATTCACCTCAAAAGCTAACCAAACCTTTAAACAGACTTATTCAGAAGGGATATAGTTACGATACTGTTGTCAGGTCATTAAAGATGGCATATTTTGGAATTAATATTGATTCACTCATATTGTCTTTGCTTCGGAAATAAACCAGTTGTTGGCATGATACGGGTTATGTTCTTCTCGTATATTTTATGATGGTATGATACTAAACCCCTAACGGGAGGGATTGTGCTTGATTTTCATATGATGAAGACATAATCTTTCCATCAGTTTAACTGAGGTCTGGAGCTGGCATGTCAGTAACTGCTAGTGATCATTTGTTAATTTATGTTATCATTGTCATTTTGCTTAGTTTCTTCTGTTATCTATTCTAACATCGGACTCGGACTTCTTTTAAACTGAGTTTTACTGTGCATATTGATTTGTGTTTGTTTATTCTACATTGGCTATAGGTATAGGGGGAGGGTTGAGATCACACGTTAAACATGTTTAACCCCGTCGCATTTTTGCGCCTGTCCAAAATCAGGAACCTCTGGCCATTGTTAGTCTTGTATTGTTTTTTTTTAATTTCGGTTCATTTATATGTTTCGGAGTTTAGTGTGACGTCCATTTTCTATGAACTAGTGCACAGTTTTGTTTAGAGGCCAGCTGAAGCCCGCCTCCGGATGCGGGATTTTCTCGCTGTGTTGAAGACCTTTTGGTTGCCTTAGGTTGTTTTCTACTCTTTGTTTGTGTTTTTGTCTCTTTGACACATTCCCCGTTTCCATTCTCATTTTTATTACGTGCAAGTTCTTTGGAAGTCAACTTTTCAGATGTCAACCGAGCCTTACTGAATTGCTTAATGTCTGCATCTATATTGTTCATTGTCACTTTACAGAATAAACCAGAATAGAAATTTCTAATCCATGGAGAGTACCTACATTCACCTTTGTTTTGATATTATTCGTGTTGCTCAATCATTTTGAATCTTTTTATGTGCACTGATCGATTTTCGGTTTTTTCTTTTTTAACCATGGTGTCGTATACTAGTACTTTTCTTTTATTATAATCTATTAATAGTATTTTTCTTAATTTCTCTCGCGATGTATTTTCTTTTAAATCTTTCTTACACCCTTTCCCTCTTGGTTTTACATATTTTTATTTTAAATGTATTTTACTCTACTATACCTTGATCCATCTTTACAGCTATATCCAAGACTGCATGAATCGGTGTATCTCCAGAGTATAGGCTTAAATGCTGAGGGTCGCATTCATGACTGCAGACCAAAGTTTCTATTAACTGATAGTATTTCCTTTCAGTAACAATTCTTATACATTTTCTGCCTCCTGAGAAAAAAAAAATCAACGTTCAAAACTGTTTCGATATGTATGCAGTCAGGTATAGCGACTGATAGATTTAAATCTGTTTTCTCTCGCATATTCTTGAAAAATATACTTTTTAATTCTAAAGTTAATGACAATTATTTACGTATTTGATTTCTGTTCATCATCTTATTTTCCATTTATCTAAAATCTTCATATTAAAACTGTAACGAATTTGTTCAAATTGTTTTATGAAACGCATTCGGTAAGTTTAACCGCTGTCTTCTTCAAACGAAGTTTGGCACTCTAAGAATCATGTGTCGTCGGCTCATAACAAGAAAAAACCACGAAACAAAACATATCACACGATCATATGATAATTAAAATCAAAAGCTAATTAAGAAAACAGCTTCTGTTGAACAGTTTGACAATATAGGACTCTCTCCTTCAGCGATTTTTTTTGTTTTTTTATTTTAATTTATATGTTTTGATGGGTTAAAGTGATTTTACTATCGGTAAACTACTGTCTAATTTTAAAAATGTAAAAGGTGCTTGGGACGATTTCGCCCTACTCAGAATACAAAGAATGTTGTTTTTATTATCTCGTGTTGTCTATCTTTAAAAGTTTAATTCTTGGCTCATTGCTATTTTTTACATTCAATACGTTTTGACTTCAAGTATTATGTTTTAAGCATCGCTTACAAAATAAATGAACGAATTTCGCAAAATCTTGAATCAAGAAAAATGAGTTCATGTAATGCAATAGGTAAACTAAAAGGACAAATTTAAAAACAGAGTAAATTGAAAGTGACAAAACTGTCCTAGCCTTTGGTAATTCCTGGATATACAAGATGTACTTTCTATATTTCTTCAGTTGCATAATCTAGCAATGAACTGAGGCTTGATTGATGTCGTTTGAATTACTAATAATACTGATGTTGACAACAATTTTCAAAGACATAGTAAGTACTTATAGTAATAAATGGTAATTACCGTCTGCTACTGATCCGCCATTTTGAAAGAACCAGTCAATGATTTCTTTAGTATTTCGTGAAAGATTTTTCTCTGTAAGAAGATATAATACTGAATCCAGTGGAATACCAGCTGCAAACCCAGAATACAGGTTATCTCCGTGAAGTTTTGAATGCTTCAATGCAAGGTTGCAAACCTGAAGCCATTTCTGTTGATTTTTTAATTCGTCAATGACCCGTTTAAATAGTTTTTGGGATATTCGGCATAACTCTGGGGGAATTTCTGGAATATTGATATTCATGTTATAGTTATAAGGACATTTTTACACATGAAACAAAAATCTTCAAATGTTCTGTATCAATATAAGTTATTCAAGACAACCTGGATTAAAATAAAAGGAACTTAATTTGCAATAAATAAATATAACACATATCTCATGTCTACAATATGTGTGATTGTTCAATCCGTACAAAAACTAGACTAACAGCTGACTATACGGTATGGGTTTTTGTTATTGTTGAAGGTCGTACGGCGACCTTTAATTCCTAATATCCACGTCATTTGAAATCTGGTATATAGTTGTATCATTGGCAATCAGACTGCATCTCCTTATTTTCATAACATATCGACGGGCGACTTATATTATAAATCCAATTTGGAATGTATGAAAAATGACACCAGATGAAATGAATGTGCATTTCAATAGAAAATGAAATCACGCTAACGGAAAATAACAACTCAGGTCATAAGATAGTTTTTCATGGCAAGTTAACGGTATATCATAACTGTTGGCGAATAAATGCTGTGGACATTGTTTTATCCACGTTGTAGGCGTTATTCCTGTATAACGTATATTTCTATAAATACATTTTGTCAGTTTTCGTAGATGCAACCTATCAATGTTCATGGATACACAGGGAAATTTCACTCACATCAATTTCACGTGAATTCAAATTCATGTGAATTTCATATCAAACGAGCTTATACGTGAAACTCATGTGAAATCAGTTTATGCGAGTATCACGTGAAAATCAAATGATTTTTTTTATTTTTAAAATACCGTAATTCAAATAACATCTAAATTTTCAATTTAATCAAAACCATGAAAAATACCAATTTTTTTTTGTAAATATAAAAAAGAAGATGTGGTATGATTGCCAATGAGACAACTCTCCACAAGAGATCAAATGACACAGAAATTAACAACTATAGGTCAGCGTACGGCCTTCAACAATGAGCAAAGCCCATACCGCATAATCATCTATAAAAGGCCCCGAAATAACAAATGTAAAACAATTCAAACGAGAAAACTAACGGCCTAATTTAAGTACAAAATAATGAACGAAAAACAAATATGTAACACAGCAACAAACGACAAACACTGAATTACAGGCTCCTGACTTGGGACAGGCACATATAGAATGTGGCGGTGTTGAACTAGTTTGAAGGCGCCAACCCTCCCCTAACCTGGAACAGTGGTGTAACAGTACAACATAAGGACAAACTGTAAAAATCAGTTGAAAAAGGCTTAACTCATCAAATGGATACAAATAGAAATACATTTAACAAAATCACAGAGTGGACTTGAACGTTTACTTGTACATCCAAACAACAAAAAGACACTAAGTACAGATCTGAGAGTACTCGCAGCTACTGACAGCTAGTTCAAAGCCAATAACAACTAATAAAAAAATCATGCATCTAAAGACATGAAAATTTTCACGTGAATTTCATGTATAAGCTCGTTTCAGGTGAATCTCACGTGAAAATTTTAATGTGAATTTCATGTGAGATTCAGGTGAAATTCACGTGAGCAAATTTTGCCTGTGTATGAAAATTACAAAGAATGGTTTTATAGAACTGATCCAGATATGACCAGTTATGAGGGTGTGGATGAGGTGTAAAGCATAAAGAGTAACGGGTCAAAACAAAACAGAATAGAGATTAATGGGGTGCTATAATATCTAGAATAGGGAATAATGAAAAAATTAAGAAGGCTTAAAAATCACGAAGACGGAAATGAAGACCCCTCACCCAGACCCCGGGTTATACAAATGTGTGTTTGAAGCTAAGGTTTTTCTCTGTTATTAGGTATCTGAATAAAGTTACAATAACCCAATGCAAAGTTTACATAACGTATACTCTGAATAGACAACGGCTATATCACTTTATATACGCAAAGTTGAACTTAAAAGGACTTGGCTATTGTTTATAAGTCCTATTTATACATTCATCGCTTTCACGTGTTTGAGCGTTTCTAATAAAAATATATCCAAAAAGCCTTCGGACGAACTAAATCTATATAGTGTCATTTTCATTTCATATGTATTACAATGCAGCAATATATAGGTAATCATATCCGTAATTGTATTCTGTGAAGGGTAAACAATCTCTCTTTTTGGAATGTATTTGAATATATAATGGAGATACCCGGGCCCTAAATATGAAGTTTGAATAATGTTGTATCAAAACTTTTTGAGAAAGCAACGACTCTACATGCTACAAATTATAAATATGCATTACTACCATAAAAAGCGTTACAAATTACGTCTTGACTTTTATAGTCGGGACCAAGTGAATAAAACAAACATAGGACACGATTTCTTGAAAGATGTTCATTTTTTACTATCGTTAGTTATTGGAGACAAACATCATTGAAAGTTAAAACATCTAAAACAAAAGAGCCAGAACAGAGCAGTTAAAACAGGCAACTCGTCTTAAGTGGTTGCTACTTTTTTTTTCGTAAACTTCGTAGTTTTGATAAACTAAAAAACTGAGACCATCGAATTGAAATAGAACATTTAAGTCATGGCAAGACCGAGGCATCGACAGTTGAGGAGATGGTGTCAAAAGGAGTATCCCTGTAGAACAACGATATCCAGGTTGTGTTTATTCCAAATACTGCCTTAATTTCTATCATTTCGACTTACCACAAACTGTTGATTCTGCGAGGAAATCGGTAATCAGTTTTATTGAATTTTCTATAATGTCCCTGTGTCTTGGACCCTTGTGCTTTGACTTTATTAGTCTTGAAAGTTCTACTAAGGATGTCGTCGAATCCTCTAGAATACTGTTTTGACAAGTAGTAAATTTTGCTAGACACTCATGACATTTATCCTCGTGCATATGTGTTTGGTCTGGCTCTCTTTCTAAATCTGGTTCGTCTTTTTCTATTTTCTTTGTCCCTTTTTGACCAATCAGTTGCTCTTTTTGTACACTTCTCTCTCTTCCTAAATTCGGCTTGTCTTTTTCTTTTTTCTTTCCCCCTTGTAAATCAATCACATGGTCTCTTTGTACACATCTTTTCTCTTTGCATTGTACTTCTAGTGGTTCAATTACTGTAAATATAATATTCTATTATGGTATCTTTATTATCAAATACATTTTTGTAATAACAAATGAAAATGATTTAAAATAATATATATATAACACGATTCCTCACAACTTACTTAAATCAATTATTTACAATGGAAGTCGTACTTTGATTTTTTTTATTTTCTATTCCTATTTGAATTTGTTTCTGTACCTCCTAATCATAAGGAATTAAAAAACGAGAAAAAGAACCAAAAAAAACGATTTTAAATTGTGCAATAAAAATAAATTTTTTATTCAACAAACAGTGTCCTCCGAAAAAAAGTGGCTGCTAGCATTTTTCATTTTTGGTATATAAAACGGATTGTCATCTTTTGAAAATCATGACAAGACGTGAAAATGTCGAATTCCGCTGTCAAAGGAGGTGCTAAGATTTTGAGATTTTTGGAACGTTTTAGTCTTATACAGTTTTTTGGTTTTTATAAATATCATTAAAATTGGCTGCTGGAAAAAAGTGGCTGCTATCTTGATTGGCTGCTAAAAGTGGCTGCCAGCTTGAGTCTGGTTTTCAAATACAGGATTTTCAAGAATGTGTCATTTGATAAAAAACAAATACTGGTATCTTCTAGCGATATTCCTTTTTATTGTTAGCATCCATTGCCGAACATAATGTTGATGAATGGTAAAAATGTGATAATCTATGTATAGAAAATATTCTGGAATAGCTTTCTTTGTCCTACTACTAAACTGACTTGAGTGAACACAAATAGAAAATCGCAGAATAATAATACGTCTTTTAGTGAGATTTTTTTTCTCACTCGGTCAGTAATATCACGGATGGTTTTAATCAAATTCAAAATACATGGGTCTAATTTACTTTATTCGAATTGGTTTCCCAGAGCAAGAGCGCCTATAATCAAAAGATAGAATATCATCAAATTAATAAAATGATTTTAGATAACAAAAAAAAATAAGAAGTTGAGGTAGGGGGCATTGATTAATTGTCAATATTTTAAACCTGTGCATTTATCTTTCATGCTCACTTTTATTATTGAAAAAATCTTTCTGTTCTGCAATTTCTGTTCATTATGACTTATTAGTTTTTTTATTCATCCTTTATGGTAGTGATTCTTACCTATTGACACAATATCGTTTATGAAAAAATAGAATGCTATTAAATGCCATATTAAATGATAAAATTATATTATATTATGTTAAATTATAAAAAAAAGCCAAACCTGATGCATTGTATTTCTGAAGGATCCTTTTAGATTTCTTATCATCTTGTAAAAGCAGTTCGAAGGCAATTTTTCCATCAATGTTCTTTGCAAAAGGATCAATTCCAACTTCAAGTAGCATTTTTACAACTACGTCAAATATCCAAATACTAATACAATACTCAGTTCTTTGTTTGGTAGCTAAATGAAGTGCTGTGTTACCAGAACAGTCCAGAAGATTAGGCGGATGTTTTTCTATCTTGATTTCATCACAAATGAATCGAAGAACACCTATTTCTCCTGAAATTAAAAACTATTTTTAAATTGCCAGTATTACTTATCTCTGTATTGTACCGTAATTCAATTTTTTGTTGTTGGTTGCTGTCTGCCTTATTTGTATTTCGTTTGTTTATTTTAGCATAAATCAGGCCGTTGGTTTTCTCGTTTGATTTCTTTCACCTTTTGTCTAATCGGATCCTTTTACAGTTTACTATACACTATTGGTTTTGCTCATTGTAGAAGGCCTTACATTGCATTATAGTTTTACATCGTCGTCCTTTGGTCTCTGGTGGATAGCTGTCTTCCTTTTTAATATCTTTTTTTGTATCTAGTAACTTCTAAAAGTCGTCAAGACAGACAATTGCGTTAATTTTTGAAGCTGTCTCCTTTTTTAATATCTTTTTTATCTAGTAACTTCTAAAAGTCGTCAAGACAGACAATTGCGTTAATTTTTGAAGCTGTCTCCCTTTTTAATATCTTTTTTATCTAGTAACTTCTAAAAGTCGTCAAGACAGACAATTGTGTTAATTTTTGAAGCTGTCTCCCTTTTTAATATCTTTTTTATCTAGTAACTTCTAAAAGTCGTCAAGACAGATAATTGCGTTAATTTTTGAAGCTGTCTCCTTTTTTAATATCTTTTTTATCTAGTAACTTCTAAAAGTCGTCAAGACAGACAATTGCGTTAATTTTTGAAGCTGTCTCCCTTTTTAATATCTTTTTTATCTAGTAACTTCTAAAAGTCGTCAAGACAGACAATTGCGTTAATTTTTGAAGCTGTCTCCCTTTTTAATATTTTTTTTATCTAGTAACTTCTAAAAGTCGTCAAGACAGACAATTGCGTTAATTTTTGAAGCTGTCTCCCTTTTTAATATCTTTTTTATCTAGTAACTTCTAAAAGTCGTCAAGACAGACAATTGCGTTAATTTTTGAAGCTGTCTCCTTTTTTAATATCTTTTTTATCTAGTAACTTCTAAAAGTCGTCAAGACAGACAATTGCGTTAATTTTTGAAGCTGTCTCCCTTTTTAATATCTTTTTTATCTAGTAACTTCTAAAAGTCGTCAAGACAGACAATTGCGTTAATTTTTGAAAGAGCATCAAGTGTATCTATAAACTAACACTAGTTTTTTACGTTACAATCAAATGGTTTTCATGAGGTGTCGTTGATAGAAGGAAAACAAAACAGAAAACAGTCACAATATAATAGAGTTTGCAGACTTCAAATTCAAAGTTTTCTTTCAAAGTATGAGCAGATAAAAACAATAGAAATCATCAGTAGTCTTTAACTACTTCTAATGGAAACAAAAATGTGCAAATTAATCATTTCAAACATAACATTCTGCTGTTTGGTCGGATTGTTGTCTCTTTGACACATTCCCCGTTCCCATTATCAATTCTATCTATTCAATGTCATAAACATGATAAAGGGAATAAATTGATACGAAGATGGAACTATAAGAAAGCGCACAAACGAGTCATGAACTTAGAAGATAAAATGATCGTAAGAGAAAAGAATGAAGTCATGGCAATATTTTTATGTTATGGTGCGTCTTATCTATTTATAAAACATTTAAAGGAATTTTTCGTTTGGTCAGCCGGTCAAATCTAGCTACTGAAATGACGGGTATAAAAGATAAAAAGTACCGCCTCAAGTCTATAGATATAAAAAATGTGGTATGAGTGCCAATAAGACAACCCTCCATCCAAGTCAAAATTTATAAAAGTAAACCATTATAGGTCAAAGTACGGTCTTCAACACGGAGCCTTGGCTCACACCGAACAGCAAGCTATAAAGGGCCCCAAAAATTACTAGTGTAAAACCATTCAAACGGGAAAACCAACGGTCTAATCTACATAAAAAACGAGAAACGAGAAACACTTATGAACCACATCAACAAACGACAACTACTGAACATCAGATTCCTGACTTAGGACAGGTGCAAACAATTGCAGCGGGTTTAAACGTTTTAATGGTACCAAACCTTCACCCTTATCTGAAACAATAGTGTAACATCACAACATAGAAAAACACACTATAAAATATCAATTGAAATGGCTTAACTCAATCAAAAGACATTTTGCACGTTTATCCAATTTATTTTCTATATGACATTCTGTCGTCTAATACGTTGATTTCGTCTTCGTGACATTCACACTTCAAATTGACTTCAAGTTGTCTTTCTGTTACACGTGCACCAATCAATTTAATCAGTAAAAGGTAGATAAAAAGAACAATGCTTAGTATCTTCTCATGAGGACAAAAGACAAAACAGCGTTGTTAAAAATACTGCTCCTAACATTGTCTTTCTAATTAATCACTGACAAGTTCCAGGATACAATCTCTTTTCCAAAGATACCCCATACTTGGCCGAGATTGTCCAATTAAAGAGACACAACATTCAACCACATGTTTTCACTCCACTAGTAACAAATTAACCTCGAGTGCATCTATGTGTGGAGCGCACAATGACGATTAGACCAAACAAGTAAAAAGATGGCATTTCCAACTGAAGCTCCCCAAACTTCATGTGTATTTGGCAAAAAAACAGATTTATTTCCAGGGTTCAAAATACTAGTATGCTTGGAGGGACAAATAAGCATGTACTTTTATTGTTTTTTCACCTGTATAAATGATATACAATTCATAGTGGGATACCATTCCGGAACCAAATTTAAAAAAATGTATTTCAAGTATCAGTGTCCTTGAGTTTTAACATATCGACCCCAAAATCAATAGGCGTCATTTCATTTAAACTTTTCTATATCTTCCATCTGTATAAGTTCCATTTCAATCAAGCAAGGGATACTAAAATTATCACGGACACATGGACTCCGGTCAGAAAGTACAGACCGGAGGATGAGCGAACAAAGCAATAACTTCATGCTGAAATTATTTTCGAGGAGTATATACATGTTGAATTATATTTGAATTCTGTTTATCTTTTTTAATTCCTTTACAAATTTCAGAAGTAAAAAAACAAAAATAAATATGGTAAAATTGTCATTTATGGACATTACTCTTATAAGGAGTCGACGACCGATTTCGGCTATGTCGAATTATTTGTAGATCTTGTCTTGTAGTTCATTTTTGCTATTTAAATTGTTCTCTATCTGTTGTAGTGTTCGAGTTAATTGGAAAAAATATATTAAAAGGTAATATTCATTTTAGGGCAATATATCTCTTATAAGGTGCCGTCTGATATTTTGTTTTATCAAAATGAAAGTAGGTAGATCTTGACGTTTTGAACATTTCGGCTCTCGTCTATTTCTCTATTTATAAAGATTTTCAAGATAAAATACAATACTTCAATTCTATCTCTATGTTCTATTTTAGCAATGTCGGCCATGTTGGTTGGCAGGCGGGATCACCGGACAATGATTATTATGGCCAAGTTTGTTTTCAGAAGAGAAATTGTGTGTAAAAGTTAACCGATGACGACGACGGACACAACAGACGACGCATGACAAGTGATGACAATAGCTCACAATGGCCCTTTTTGGTTCAGGTGAGGTTAAATAATAAGATTCAGATTACTTTTTTTTACATATTCGAAGTTTATCAAAACAATAAAAAAAGAATCTTACATAAGTTCAATACTACATACAAATAAAATACATAAATATGCTAGCGAACCTGATGTTAATGCCATTTTTACAGCTGCGTGGATGAATGTATCTCCTTCCTCGGTTGATAATTCTGTGTAATTGCTTCCAAGACTAACAAAGAAGCTAATATGAGACACACATTGAGGATAGGACTGAATAAAATTCATATCACAAAGAGGTCTGAGATTAAATCTCTTCATCACAAACACACATGGCTTTCGTGCTGTATACTGGATCATATTTTCTACAAACATCGCCGCCCTTATATTCTTTTCCACCATAAAACTGTATAAGACATCTATCCATACATTGCACATGATATCTATACCCAATATGCGATGAAAATTATTTGGATCTGTAAAAACGTTAAAACATTATATATACGGGAAAAACAAAATAATTAATAAACTGTTTGATAGAAAAAAGGAGATGTGTTATGAATACCAATGAGACGGATATCCACCAAAGACCAAAGGACGAGGATGGAACTAACTATAGAATACCGCACGGCCTTTAACAATGAGCAAAACTTATAACGCATAAAGCTGTAAAACGCCACAGAATAACGAAATATAAAACATTTAAAAAAAGGAAAACCAAAAACCAATAATAAAAGCTAAAAACAATAAACGAAAAACAAATAATTATGACATACAGCAACTAACGTCAACCGCTGATTTATTGGCGCAGGCACATAAAGGATGTGTCGGGGTTAAATGTGTTTGTGAGCGCTCACCTTTACCTGGGACAGTGGTGTACCAGCACAACATAAAAAACTGTAAAAATTAATTTACTAGATCGACACGAAGCGCAAAAACAACTTACAAAAATCAAAAGAAAATCTAGCCTCAAAATTGACTTATGCATATGTTATCAAAACACTTGGAAAATTTATTTAATCGCACCAGAGACACATAATACAACTACTTATATATGTTTCTGATCGCACTTATGATAACACCTACACTTGTCCGTGATATCCTTTTATTAAGCAATTAAAAATCAATGCGTGCACTTCAAATACATTAATTTTAAATGTTATTAATAACATCAGATATTACATTGATTTTCAAATGTAATTAATTCCATTACACTTACCTTGCCAATGTAATTAATTACATTTCAATTACTTTTGTCCAAAGATAGGTATTAAGAGATATGTCATATAGGATAAAATCATAAAAATGACAATACGCTAGAATAAAAAAAATGAATCAAATACAAAAAAAAGAGTATATTACATGCTATATCTTCTTATCTATATATAATGATTAATGATGTATTAGGGAACATTAAATATTTTTTCAACACATTAAAATGTTTATAAAGTATAAATAAAATCAAAGTGCTAAGTGCATTCTAAATGTAGGAAAACATACAATTTACAGGTGCATGATGTGTGATTGCATCAGAAGAGCCAACCATGTTTAAAATGTCCCAGCAAATATTGACATGCAATTGAAAGTAATTGAAATGTTTTTTTTTCATTATTACATGGCAAAAAGACAATGTAATTAATCACTCTCAGTAATATGTACTGGTAATTAAAAAATATGCTTAATTACACATTTCATTAAATTATTTACAAATTTGTAATTAACTACAGCTAATTACAATTACATTTTTAATTATCCCAGGTATGAATATAGGTCACCGTACGGCCTTCAACAATGATAACAACCCCATACCGTTTAGTCTGCTATAAAAGGCCCCGACATGAAAAATGTGAAACAATTCAAACGAGATAACAAAAGTGCTAAATCATAACAACACAATTTACGAAAAACAAATTTGACAGACATGAACAAATGGTAACCACTAAATTACAGGCTCCTGACATGGGACAGGCACATAAAGAAAGTGGCAGGGTTTAACAAGTTCGTGAGCGCTCAACCCTCCCCTAACTTGGTACAGTGATGTAACAGCACAACATAGCAACAAACTTAAGAAAAATCAGTTGTAAAAGCTTTACTCACTAGATCGGTAAAAAGCGCAAAAAAAAATCCCGAACTAACATAGATAATATAGACACTATATAATGAAAGGTTTTGGTCATAAATACATTTTCGTAATAATAGATTACCTTTATATAATCTAAATTAAGTGAACTCTTTCATACGCTTTTATTAAAGATTTTATGGCGTTTTCATTTATTGTATATCTTCGATGATTTTGAAAACTAGCTGAGGACAAGCCGTTACTGAAAATGCACCCGAGTCAAAATCACTTTATAGAGTTTTTTTTTACATTTACTGTATTAAACTTCGTACTCACACTTTGATTTATCCAAATGCATATAATGAATGCAACATTTCTTTAGAATATCTGCTTCTATAGACTCCATGGACTCATCCATACCACGAGGATGAGAATTGCACCTACTATAGTTCGACAGTACACGTGAATACATCTTAAAGGCCTTTTGGTGTTCGTTTTTAGCAGCACATACATCTCCCAGCATCAATTGCGCCTGCAATTTAGGAAAATGGTGAAAGATATCGATCAACTAGACTGTTGCTACTTTAGTTACACGGTTGCATTATGATGAAATGATGAATGGCATTATTCAAAATTTTAACATTAAGATTTAGTCTTAAAGAAATTAACGTTCTAAATTATAGAAATACAGTATTTAAAGTTATAACAACCAAAATAAGTATAATTCATACGACGATATAGTGGAAAACAGGTCTGTCTGTTATTGCCAGGGGCAAAGATCCCATGAATGTTCACTAAGATTGCCTGTTAAAGTGAAACTGTAACCTAAAAAGAAATAATAGAAACAGATGGTTCAAAGAGTCAGTATCTTTCAACTGGTAGCAATGATACATATATCTACTAAATACCCTAAAAAATTTCAAAAAGGAGCAAGGACTTTCGGTAGATTTAAATTTCTTAAAAGTGCATAATAATCCTTTTTTAAGTCCTTTTGTGAAAAAAAAATGGCAGTAAATACCTATACCCAGCCTAACATGGTTCACCTGGGTGTATTTGTAAAACAACGTTTTGCTCTGCGCGTGTTTGGAAGGTAAAATAATGAAATGTACACTATACATGTAACAACAACGTTATGTTTTCCTTCAATTTACTACTACTTGAAGCTGTTTGAAACATGTACCACTGTTCATAGCTGTAATTGTTAGTTGCAGAGAATGTCAATAGCATTGTAGTCAATGTTTGAAATTGATCATGATACTTACGTTTTATCCTTTGTCAATATGCTTTCGCCCTGAATATGCATGAACATTTGCCATTGAACGTTAGGTCAACGTCGAGAAATCAATCAATTTTGTATAGAAAAAGAGCATATGCCTGCAGCTCCCTCTGAAAAGGCTGATCTCAATTTTTATTCAAATTATTCCCTATAGGTTTCTAACTCTTTTCTATTTAGAATTGTCGGGAAAAAAACAGTTTCAAAAGTATTGAACCTACAGGTATTCAAAACGTACTTTTCGGTTGTAGGCGAGAAAATACTTTGATAATTGTAAAATAGTTGATTCTGTATATGAAATTGTTATATATTTTTTTAACACGGTATCTCTCCGATATCATTTTTCTATTTTTCTATAGTGTCACCTTCTCTTCTCCCTTTTATGTTTTTTTAACAGCTGAAACGTTTCGATCAGTTATTTACTAATATCTTTTTCGTATGTACTAGATACCGGATAAAAAAAACCAAGGCTTTACAACATTTAAACTTAGAAAAGCTCGACAATCTTATAGGTTAGTGTGAAACAGCAGATATACTTTTACACTAAATCTTTGCTGCCGACCCAATAAATCACGGTTATGAAAACGCACATGAATGTAACGCTACATACTTAGTTTCCTTTTTTTTCATATGAATAAGGGTTGTTTTTCGTGCAATTAAATTAACATGGTGGTCGTTCCAAAACAGAATAAAATGCTTCGCTGGGGCGCAGCTTGATACGACCGCAGAGGTCGAACCCTGAACAGTTGGGGCAAGTATGGACACAACATAAAGCTTGATACAGCACTGAATTTGGATTGTAATTAAATATTTGACACAGCATAGGTTTCTGACACAGAATGAATGTGGTCTAAGAACTTAAAATTTTTTAATTTATCTATTCAAACCATATCATTATTATTTGCTTTTATATATAAATCAGAAATAACCAATTTAAAATGGAAAATTTCAAAGAAAAAAAAAGGAAAAAAAAATCCCTCCCACAAATTTTTTCAACCCCCTTATGATTCATCACCCCCAAACTCAATCCCAGCCTTCCCTTTGTGGTACGGTACCTTGCAGTACATATGATGGACTGTGAAACTAAAATCAGGAGTTTGGGAAATTTTGGTCAGGAGATTAGGACTCAGATCAGGAGCTTTTTAATCGACATAAATTCTGTCGTAAATGTAACCGTGTGCTGTAGAAATTGTCTGTTAAAGTGTGTTTTCTTCAACTTTCCATCCGAATGTATTATGTTTATAGTACCCTTGTACTTATAAATTTTCTCTATCTTTTTAAACTTTCAATTTGTTCAATCTAACATTCTTCTTTTTTAGTATGTTCTTTAAATTTTTTAGGTCATATCTTTTTTTCCATTATTCATTGCAATCAGAATATTTGCTTATCTATCTGCAAGTAGATCTTTTATTTTTTATCTTTATGCAAGTAGATTTTCAATGCATGATAAGTAACACATTCAAACTGTAATCATGGGTCATAGTTAATATATAAATTTCAATTTAAGCCTTGAAAGGAAGTATAGAACCCTCAAATAATTTTCAAATTATTATTTTTTTATTTGTCCCAAGACATTTAAAATCATTTAATTACAATCCTTTTATGATTATTTGTTCAATTTATATTTTATTTATATTCTTTTAAAAATTTACATTATTTAAAGGAAAGTAACTTAAAACAGGATAAATCAAGGGAAGTAACCCAACATTCATTTTAAATATACAAAGTTTTATTACACAACGGCAGTTAGCCTGATGTAAAAATCGTTGATTACCAGTATGTTTGACACCCAAGGTGACAAGTGAAGCCATATAATTATGCATGTTAATTGATTTACAGGTAAAATATAACTTCAGGTAATGTCAGTTACACCAGATATGTTGGGCTGAAATTTTTCATTCATTAAATATTTCATACACGGGATTTTTTTGTCTTCAACGGGAGGTCGGGAGGAGACCCCTGAAAACGGGATTATTGTATTCCCGTCGGGAGGTTCACATGTATGATTACTGTACAATTTAAGAGAGGTCCATACACTTAAACAAAAGTTATTGTCTGGAAACTAGAAAAATGCTTGTTTTTTGGCACCTTTTTGGCCCAAAATTCCTAAACATTTAGGGCAATTACCCCCAAACTCAAACCCAGCTTTTCCTTTGTGATATGGAACCTTGCAGTACAATTTCATAAAGATCCATACACTTACACACAAGTTATTGTCCTGAAACTAGAAAAATGCTTGTTTTTTGCCCCTTTATGGCCCCTAATTCCTCAAATTTCTAGGGATTTAACCCCAAAATCAATCCCAGCCTTCCCTTTGTGGTATGGTACCTTGTGATACAATGTCAGAGAGATCCATACACTTGAACACAAGTTATTGTCTGGAAACTAGAAAAATGCTTATTGTTGGCCCCTTTTTTGGCCCCTTATTCCTAAACGTTGTGGGAAATTACCCCCAAAATCAATTCCAGCTTTCCCTTTGTGATATGGAACCTTGTAGTACAATTTCATAAAGATCCACACACTTACACACAAGTTATTGTCATGAAAATAGAAAAATGCTTGTTTTTTGGCCCTTTTTGGCCCCAAATTCCTAAAATTTGGAGGCAATTACCCCCAAAATCAATCCCAGCATACCCTTTGTGATATGGAACCTTGTGGAACAATGTCAGAGAGATCCATACACTTACACACAAGTTATTGTCATGAAACTAGAAAAATGCTTGTTTTTTGCCCCTTTTTGGCCCCTAATTCCTAAAATTTGGAGGCAATTACCCCCAAAATCTATCCCAGCATTCCCTTTGTGATATGGAACCTTGTGGTACAATGTCAGAGAGATCCATACACTAACACACAAGTTATGTCTGGAAGTTACAAAAATGCTTATTTTTGGCCCCTTTTTGGCCCCTAATTCCTTAACTGTTGGTACCATAACCCCCAAAATCAATCCCCACCTTCCTTTTGAGGTATTGAACCTTTTGGTAAAAGTTTATAGAGATCCATTCACTTAAACTAAAGTTAGAGTGCGAAAACCAATGTGTCTTCGGACGACGACGCCGGACGACGACGACGACGACGACGACGACGCCGCCAACGTCATACCAATATACGACCACAAAATTTTTTTGCGGTCGTATAAAAATACAAATAAATATCTGTTTCCGGATCAACGTGTGTACATGATGAAAAGTTATCCGGGAATCGGTATTTAAATAGTTTGATATAAAAATACGATGTGGTAAGATTGCCAATGAGACAACTCTCCACCAGAGACCAAATGACATAGAAGTTAACAACTATATGTCACCGTACGTCCTATAACAATGAGCAAAAACCATACCGCATAGTCAGCTATAAAAGGCCCCGAAATGACAAATGTAAAACAATTCAAATGAGAAAACTAACGGTCTGATTTATGTACAAAACAATGCACGAAAAACATATATGGTACACTGCAACAAACGACAACCAGTGAATTACAGGCTCCAGACTTGGGACAGGCACATACAGAATGTGGCGGGGTTAAACCAGTTTGCTATCACCTCCACGCCCTATAACCTGGGACAGTGGTGAAACAGTACAACATAAGAACAAACTATAATAAAATGCTCCGCTGGGGTGCAGCTTGATACGACCGCAGAGGTCGAACCCTGAATAGTTGGGGCAAGTATGGACACAACATTCAAGCTTGATACAGCACTGAATTTGGATTGTAATTACATATTTGACACAGCATAGGTTTCTCACACAGAATGAAAGTGGTCTAAGAACTTAAAAAATTTTAATTTACCTATTCAAACCATATCATTATTATTTGCTTTTATATATAAATCAGAAATAACCAATTTAAAATGGAAAATTTTAAAGAAAAAAAAGGAAAAAAAAATCCCCCCCCCCAACTTTTTGAACCCCCTTATGATTCATCACCCCCAAACTCAATCCCAGCTTTCCCTTTGTGGTATCGCCGCGATATAGCCTTTCTGTGCTAATGCGGCGTAAAGCAAACAACAATCAATCAATCCCTTTGTGGTATGGTACCTTGCAGTACAATTTCAGAGAGATCCATACACTTAAACACAAGTTATTGTCTGGAAACTAGAAAAATGCTTCTTTTTTGGCCCCTTTTTGGTCCCAAATTCCTAAACGTTTAGCGCAATTACCCCGAAACTCAAACCCAGCTTTCCCTTTGTGATATGGAACCTTGCAGTACAATTTCATAAAGATCCATACACTTACACACAAGTTATTGTCCTGAAACTAGAAAAATGCTTGTTTTTTGGCCCTTTTATGGCCCCTTATTACTAAAATTTTGAGGGAATTACCCCAAAAATCAATCCCAGCCTTCCCTTTGTGGTATGGTACCTTGCAGTACAATTTCAGAGAGATCCATACACTTAAACACAAGTTATTGTCTGGAAACTAGAAAAATGCTTATTTTTGGCCCCTTTTTGGCCCCTTATTCCTAAAATTTTTCGGAAATTACCCCCAAACTCAATTCCAGCTTTCCCTTTGTGATATGGAACCTTGTAGTACAATTTCATAAAGATCCATACACTTACACACAAGTTATTGTCATGAAACTAGAAAAATGCTTGTTTTTTGGCCCTTTTTGGCCCCTAATTCCTAAAATTTGGAGGCAATTACCCCCAAAATCAATCCCAGCATTCCCTTTGTGATATGGAACATTGTGATACAATGTCAGAGAGATCCATACACTTACACACAAGTTATTGTCATGAAACTAGAAAAATGCTTGTATTTTGCCCCTTTTTGGCCCTTAATTCCTAAAATTTGGAGGCAATTACCCCCAAAATCTATCCCAGCATTCCCTTTGTGATATGGAACCTTGTAGTACAATGTCAGAGAGATCCATACACTTACACACAAGTTATGTCTGGTAGTTACAAAAATGCTTATTTTTTGCCCCTTTTTGGCCCCTAATTCCTTAACTGTTGGTACCATAACCCCCAAAATCAATCCCCACCTTCCTTTTGTGGTATTGAACCTTATGGTAAAATTTCATAGATCCATTCACTTAAACTAAAGTTAGAGTGCGAAAACTAATGTGTCTTCGGACGACGACGACGACGACGCCAACGTCATACCAATATACGACCACAAAAATGTTTTTGCGGTCGTATAAAAATAAGTTGAAAAGGGCTTAACTTATCAGATCGATATAAAGAAGAAAAACATCTAACAGAAAATAGACTGGATATTATGCACTAATTTAGCAATTAAAAAAAAAGATGATCGTACATTAAATCTCGCACTTTTTCTTTATACCTGTAAGCGCCTTGTATTGCAGATTTCTGTTAACTTTTGACAACAACACCAATGTTTTACTTACCTTGTTACATGAATGATTATATTTTAAACTATCTTTTGCAGTCCTATATGCATTGTCAATATTCCCCAACTGAAGGTGACATTCTGACATATTCCTCAACAAAATCGACAGTTCGCTATTGCAATCTACTCTATTGGAATCAAAGCAGGAAAGTGCTATTGAGTAAGAATATAAGGCAGCTCTATAATTGCCCACAGACAACTCTCGATTTCCCTTGTCACCATAGAAGCTACGGACAAATGGATCAGCAGAGGAACACATTTCATCCACTCCAATATTTTCTTCTGTATAGTTGTCTTCTGCTGCATGCCCTAAAATAATATATGGCGAGGCAAATTCAAAACTCAGAAAATTATATCGGACGAAAAATTTTAATAAACGTTAAACATGTAGTGTCCTGTCCATAATTATACAAGCTTTCAAACATCTCGTACTAAATTTCTAGTACCCAAGTTGTTCATCTTGGTCGAAGTTATACGCATCTCATCGTAATGCTAGGTTTCTCGACCAAAATAAAGTTTTTACCAAAGTCAAGATAAAGATAAAGTGTTTGAAACATAAAAAGAATGTTTTCGTGATACCTAGTTTATTAACGAGTCACAGATTTCTTGTTAAATTTTAATTTAAGAGATTTTGGTATTTTTTATTTATAACTAGCGTATTACCATAATAAAACAAAAGAACTTTGTTATTAAGATTTTGACGAATACAGCGGTGAAAGATGATGATTATACGTTAGACTTAGGAATGGGCTATTTTCAACAGGAGGAATTGTGTTCAGGATAATTGCTGTTCACATTTTTATCTTTTACTAGTATTTTTGAACACCTCGTGAATTTTCTGTAGCAATGCACTAAATTTTCCCCAGAAAACACTGAATTTCATTTTCCATTTAAAAAGATTTGTATTTAAGGACTTTCGCTACTCTCTTTCAAATTAACAAGCCTTTTAAAAGACTGTTATAAAATGATAGTATATAAATAAAAGAACTAAAAAAGCAGAAAAAGATGAAGGGTCCGTGTGCTTGTTTTCGAGATATACGCCATTGAAAATTTGGCGGGAAATGATTCTCTCTAGATTTTTCATACTTTTAACATTGTCCGCTTTTCTCTTTTAAAAACTATGAAAAAATAACAAGGATTTCTTGCAGCGCCAAAATAGGAAATTTGTTAAACAATGTACTTGTATTTGAAAATTTAACTAATAATAAATATATTTATTTATTTATTTTACATATATCCATAAAATCTGAAGATTATTTACCCTATACGTTTCTATCTAAGGTCATATTGAAGAAAAAAATATGCTTATTTTACATGCATGGTTTTTAAGATGTGATTCTAGGGCATTTTAAACCAGTTTTATCTTCTGGGAAAAAAATAGACACATTTGGGCTGCTACCTCATTTGCGTACACACAACTTCTCCTTTCATTAACCATTCGTTAGATTATTGGTTTTGGTTAAGAAAGCCTCTCTTGTTTTAATTCTTTTTTGTTTTTGTTCTTTTAATTTTTACATACACGTATATAATTTGTAAAAATCTTTCATAATTTCAGATCGTTTTCATTTTAATGCATATATATTATCGTTGTTATAGTCGAATATTTGGAAATTAGTCAAAATAATATTGAAATCTTGTATCATTACCCACAATTCGGCCAGGCTGAACAGTAGGAATCCATGATGGAAATGCGAATGGATGCCGTATAAAGTTGAATCCAGCCATATTCTAGTTATCCAAGAGAGCTTCGCATCTTCTGTTAAAAAGTCCTTCAACTGCAAATTCGGAAAAAAAATATGCAAAATTACATGGTGATGTTGACTGACAACATGTAACAAGATTATTCTTTGCCCTGTCTCAGTTCCTCTAAATATGATGGCACAGCACCAAATAAAAATAATAATAGTTAAAAAGAATCACTTTTTGCCTTCCTTTGATAGAGGGATTTAATATGGCTGATATTTTTACCATTCTGGTGGTATCAGGCTGATATCCAGTTGAAATTAAACAAAAGACATGGAACTCTTTGTTAGAGAAGGTAAAACATGCCAAGTTGGTATATTTGAATTGTTTACATCTGTTTCTATGTGCTTTAAAAGTTTAATGTAGGTGCATGATTTATGATTTTATGCATCTGATATACGTGTTTTTACTTAAATTATAATATGGAACTTTGCGATATTTGTAATCTTTAAAATTAAAGATAAATTTTCACAAAACGGTCGATTGTGGTAGGTGCAAATACATGTGGATCTTTTGTGTGCATAAGCATAAATTCCGCCGAAAAAATTCTACAGAAAGGTAAATAAATTGATCTTTTTAGAGCACTAATTTGCATCTCTGCCCCCCGGCGATAGTTTTTTTGAGTGATCTAATTGTTGACAAGTAATTTTAGAGAGTGGTCTCATTGTTGACAAGTAATTACGATGATAACATATGTTCCATAGTGCAAACGACCCGTATATATATATTTGATGTGGCGGCATGGTAATTAAAATTATCATCCTTTACGACAGACAAAATAGCTGATCTGAAAGGTCCACTGTACATCATGTACTGTGTTACAACCCTAGATAAAGCCGACGAGGAAAGGCATTACATCGACCACCGAAAGCTATATTTTTATGTACCTAGGTGGTCGAGTGGTCTAGGGCGCTGGACACGGTGCAGGCGGTGTTGCCACGATGTCACAGAAGCAAGGGTTCGAATCCCGCTGAGGGAAGAACAAAGATTTGCTAACGCATTTGAAGATCTAACATTGTTGGGCTAAATTTGAGACGAATTATATATATATATATATATCAGTATAAGGTAAAATATATATATCTTTAGAAACACTTAAGAATACTTTATAAAAAAAAAGAAACAATCGGAAAACTTACTCTGTTTCTATAAATATCTTTCCCGATCATCATTGAAATATACACAACTTATTAACAGAGCTATGCACCTCATAGAATAAAATACTTCCAAAACTTATCATACTTTTATTGTAATTAAGCTTTTTTTGCCAAAAATAAATCGTTTATTGCACTTTTCAAATGGTTGTTAACAAATACACTAAATGGTTGAACTATCCCAAATTATACATTATTTTAGAATGAGGCTGAATTGAATTGTCTAAATCGACTTGGCCCGGTCCGAATTAGGGTCGGATTAATTTTGGGCTGGAACACCTGATACCCTCATGGCGAACCCACTTTGTAGAACCTACCTATTTCATTCATTGTTTATTAGTTCTCGTCCTGAATATGCGTGAAATATTTTCACCTTACTGTATAACAAAAACATAGTCAGTCAATTAATGTAGTAAACGTGGATTGAGGAGTTGCTAGTTAACATTTATTTGTTTGTTATTTTGTTACGGCTGTCACTAGTAGATCAGAAACTTCCGGAGCATTTGACTTCAACTCCAAGGTCCTGAATGAGATATAACGAGTCCAGAACCAATCCTATATATACCAATACATATTCTTAGTATTAGATTTTATTTCATAATCTATTTTGTTCAATTCAATATTTTATCATAAATATTTGTTGTTTTTTAAGGTGTTTCGGTTAAGGTTTAACTACCAAGGCTTTTCCTCATCAGGTATCCCAAGCCTCTAACTAATAAAATAATCAGTTTCAAAAGGAAAGTTCAAAGCATCCATACGCATAGAATTTAAATATTCTGCATACAGGGATACGACACCTGGTAACTTTGTATTGATGTATTGTACTATAAATTCAATCAGTTTATGTTTTGATATAACTACTGTCTTTTATGTTGTGATTTATCCTATAACTTGGAGGATGTAAGTAGATCCTTCAAGTTTTTGTGTCTTTTATATGCTATGATCGGAGGTTTTGGAAACATAGTTTTTGTGCTATCATTTTGTTCAATTAGGTGCCAATGTTTTTTTATTGCTTTATTAAGTCCATTGAAGGAAGGATTAAATTTGGTGGCTAAAACTAATGGAGGCATTGCTCTTTTGTTTTTAAGCTTGTACCTTAGACAATCTTTTCTTTCCCTATGCAATGCCTTTGTTATTATGGGGTTTATATCCTTTTCCGAGTATCCCCTATGGAGAAGTTTTGTTTTGAAAGTTTCAATTTCTTTTAGTGTATCATTTTTGTTATTTGATGATCTCATAAACCGCAATATTTCTGCAGTAATAAATCCATTGAACACCGATGATGGGTGAGCTGACGTTCTTTCAAGATACTGAAAGTTATCAGTAGGTTTACGGTATAGTTTTACGTCTAATATATTATGATTAAGGAATCTGTTTCCTTTAAAAATTGTGACGTCAAGGAATTGAATGCTAGTGTGTGATATTTCATGCGTAAATTTTATTAACGGGTGTATATTATTAGCAATGTTAAATAATTCAGTAAGATTATCTTGACTAGAATTAAAAAGAATGAATCCATCATCTCTGTATATAGATAACAGTGCTAAGTTATCTTTAAAAGGAAATATATCAAGAATATTCGTTATAATTTCAAACATTCTGAAATCAGCCAGGGATGGGCTCATTGGGGCTCCCATTGGGATTCCACATGTCTGTCTGAATATCAAGTTATTAAATTCAAATTCATTATTGCATAGAATGAATTGAAGTATTCTTAAGAAGTCCTTTTTTGGTGGTAGAGGTATTTCATGTTTATTACGACATATTTTGTACCATGCTCTGTCAACTGCTTGCAGTATTTCATCGTGAGTTAAGGAATTGTACATACTAGTTATATCAAAAGTGCACATAATTATGTCATCCGGTGCCCTTATTTGTTCTATTTTGTTAATAAATGAGGTTGTGTCCTGTGTATAAGTCCATAATTGGCTAACTACTGGTTTTAGGAAGTAGTCTATAAATTGACCAATTTTTTCAAGTGGACTATTGCATAATGATACAATTGGTCTCCCAGGAATATCAATATTTTTAAGGAAATCTTTGTTAGTTTTGATTTTTTCTCTATCTTCATGGTTAATTTTGAGAATTTTAGGCAACATATAGAGTCGTCCCACTCGTATATTGGCATTATTGGCTAGGTATTTATATGTTATATCGTCGATATATTCTTTCTTGTGTAGTTGTTTGATCGTTTTTTGAATAGTTTCGGATATTTTGTTCGTATTAAATTCATGAATTTGCTCATAGCATATACTGTTGTTCAGGAAGTTCAGTGTTTGTTTAATATATAGATTTTTATCCAGAACAACAGTAGATGAATTTTTGTCAGCTTTCTTAATAATTATATTATTATTTGAACGTAAGGTTTTGAGTGCCGCTCTCTCATGTTTAGAAAGATTATTTCTAACTTTGTTTATTTTTAGTCTGCATTTTTCCATCTTTGTGGCAAATAGATAATTTTCTATTGTGTTGTTTGCTAAAGAGGGTTTGAATCCCGATTTGATTCTAAAAGGATGATTGGTGTCCGCATTAGATTTTTCACTAAAGTGATATTTGCATCGCATTTTTCTGCCTAGTTCGTCAAAATCTCGTAAGAGATTTTGTTTAATGTATTTTACATCAGGACTGGGAATAAATTTTAATCCCTTTGCAAGAACTAATATTTCATAGTTTGTGAGATTTTCACGTGAAAACACTTCTATATAGTTTAAAGCTTTTCTTACATTTTCATGAAAGTTTTTTGTGCGTTTAAGATGGCCTTTGTTATTATTATGTATACGGAGTTTACTTTTGTATTTTATTAATCGTTTTGTCTGATCCCTTTTCCTGAGAGATCTTTTTCTATTACTCATAGTAATATATTTGTTTAAATTTCTTTTGTGACAAAACTAATTTGTTTGTTTGTATAATTATTTCAACTCTAATTGAGAGATGAAATGAATATATATAACATTCAACTCTATTTGAGAGATGAACTGTATTTTACTAATTCTACTCTATTTGAGAGATGAATTGATTTGTATTTTGTTTAAATCTATTTCAAAAATTATACATTGTATATGTAAACTCTGTTGAAGTGTTTGTTCACTTCAATGAGATATAACGAGTCCAGAACCAATCCTATATATACCAATACATATTCTTAGTATTAGATTTTATTTCATAATCTATTTTGTTCAATTCAATATTTTATCATAAATATTTGTTGTTTTTTAAGGTGTTTCGGTTAAGGTTTAACTACCAAGGCTTTTCCTCATCAGGTATCCCAAGCCTCTAACTAATAAAATAATCAGTTTCAAAAGGAAAGTTCAAAGCATCCATACGCATAGAATTTAAATATTCTGCATACAGGGATACGACACCTGGTAACTTTGTATTGATGTATTGTACTCTAAATTCAATCAATCTAATACTAAGAATATGTATTGGTATATATAGGATTGGTTCTGGACTCGTTATATCTCATTTAAGAATTCTTCAATTCATTCTATGCAATAATGAATTTGAATTTAATAACTTGATATTCAGACAGACATGTGGAATCCCAATGGGAGCCCCAATGAGCCCATCCCTGGCTGATTTCAGAATGTTTGAAATTATAACGAATATTCTTGATATATTTCCTTTTAAAGATAACTTAGCACTGTTATCTATATACAGAGATGATGGATTCATTCTTTTTAATTCTAGTCAAGATAATCTTACTGAATTATTTAACATTGCTAATAATATACACCCGTTAATAAAATTTACGCATGAAATATCACACACTAGCATTCAATTCCTTGACGTCACAATTTTTAAAGGAAACAGATTCCTTAATCATAATATATTAGACGTAAAACTATACCGTAAACCTACTGATAACTTTCAGTATCTTGAAAGAACGTCAGCTCACCCATCATCGGTGTTCAATGGATTTATTACTGCAGAAATATTGCGGTTTATGAGATCATCAAATAACAAAAATGATACACTAAAAGAAATTGAAACTTTCAAAACAAAACTTCTCCATAGGGGATACTCGGAAAAGGATATAAACCCCATAATAACAAAGGCATTGCATAGGGAAAGAAAAGATTGTCTAAGGTACAAGCTTAAAAACAAAAGAGCAATGCCTCCATTAGTTTTAGCCACCAAATTTAATCCTTCCTTCAATGGACTTAATAAAGCAATAAAAAAACATTGGCACCTAATTGAACAAAATGATAGCACAAAAACTATGTTTCCAAAACCTCCGATCATAGCATATAAAAGACACAAAAACTTGAAGGATCTACTTACATCCTCCAAGTTATAGGATAAATCACAACATAAAAGACAGTAGTTATATCAAAACATAAACTGATTGAATTTATAGTACAATACATCAATACAAAGTTACCAGGTGTCGTATCCCTGTATGCAGAATATTTAAATTCTATGCGTATGGATGCTTTGAACTTTCCTTTTGAAACTGATTATTTTATTAGTTAGAGGCTTGGGATACCTGATGAGGAAAAACCTTGGTAGTTAAACCTTAACCGAAACACCTTAAAAAACAACAAATATTTATGATAAAATATTGAATTGAACAAAATAGATTATGAAATAAAATCTAATACTAAGAATATGTATTGGTATATATAGGATTGGTTCTGGACTCGTTATATCTCATTGGACTCGTTATATCTCATTCATGCGGTATGGGCTTTGCTCATTGTTGAAGGCCGTACGGTGACCTATAGTTGTTAAAATCTGTGTCATTTGGTCTCTTGTGGAGAATTGTCTCATTGGCAATCATACCACATCTTCTTTTTTATATGACTTACTATCCGCTTTTACATTACATTTGGACAACGAGCAGGAAAAGTTTAACCTTCTCGAGCACCTGATTTCACTCTCGGTTTGTTTGAGAGTTTGAGTGTTCGCATTGTCCATGCTTTGGTTTTTAGTGTTTTCGGTGTTTGTATTTCGTGTTTAATCCCACACCTTGCTATTTTGTCCTCGTCTGTTTTCCTGGAGGTGCCTTGTCCTTTGATCATGTTGTACGAGATTTTACTGTGACTTTGGTATGCTTCCTGCTATTTATGCCAATTAAACTGAATCAATACATTGCTTTATATTAAACTGGCAGTTATAGAGAAGGTCAATTTATTTACTTTAAAGTGCCACTTATTGTTATATCAAACTACAAATGTAATTAAAGCGTGTCTGTTGTCAAAATTAAGTGATTTTAAACATAAACAAACAAGCAAGCTAACAAAAAATATGCACAAAAAAAACAAAAAAAATTGAAAAAAAACAACATAATGCGTGAAAACTAATGTTCCCAGATATGATATTTTGCTGGTAAAATATGCTTTTTTTTTTTTTTTTAATCCGGAATATATAAACGAGAGTACAATTGGAGCTGTTATGATTGTCTGTTCGTAGTCGCGCTTAATTCATTAAAAAACTTTCGAAATCGAATATTCCTCTCAAGGTTTTGTTTGACAATATACATCTCTGATGTGTTTTTTGTTAAACATATGAGTTAATTTGGCTATTTTATGCATAAGTTTTATTGTTGCTGTTTTAACCTCCCAACCCCCAAAAACGAGAGTTAGATCCGGAACTGAAAACCGGAATCCGAACCCACGTAAATGGAAGAAAAATGACTTTCTCGGTTCTCATTAGTCATAGAAAAGAGAAATCATTGTTTTAACAATGAATTTCATTGGCAGGTTGTATTAATGTCTAGTATACAAAAATATTAACGTATATACACAAAGAATTCCGTATATACGTAAATCGAATTCTGTATATACGTAAATTGATTTACGTATATACGTAAATCGAATTTCGTATATACATAATTATTTCTGTATATACGAAATTATTTACGTATATACATAATTATTTCTGTATATACAGAATTCGATTTACGTATATACGGAATTCGATTTACGTATATACGTAAATCGAATTCTGTATATACAGAAATAATTATGTATATACGTAAATAAGTATTTTTGACCCTGATTCCGCGCCATACTATGGCGATAATAGTACAGAAATAATTATGTATATACGTAAATAAGTATTTTTGACCCTGATTCCGCGCCATAGTCTTGGCATCTTATATTTCAAAAAATTCAAAAACTTACCTAGATTTCAAGTCTACAGAAGATCGTCGTGGCAAAAGAAACCAAATACCTGACTTTCACTTGATAAGGTTCACTAGATGTTAAACAGTTTCCATTGTCCATCTGTTATCCGTGCCAATCAATACAATTATTTATATGAGGGGAACTTCTCAAACATCTTTCCCAACTTATTTTATTTTGTCACCTTCTGTAATAACGGAAAAATGCACAGAAAAATACAGTTAAGTTTTAATGTTGAACTAATTGAATTTTATTTATCTACGTCCAACAATGCTTTAAAACTTTTCCAGGTACACAGGTTGGTCTGTACTCAGAGTAATCAATAGTCCGAGATTACTCTGACGTCCAACGGCTGTTTTGCCAGACAAGCTGGGGCCGTGGGACGTCAGAGCTCGTCCCATATCAAAAAGTGGATATTTGCCCGTCCAAAATAGATGCGCTGCTTCGTCGCTTCTGGTGCCAACGGACGGCTTTGGAATTATATAAATCGGGTATCAATTTGTTCATTTTTCATTTATCTCTTCATTTATGTAAGTTTCACCTACCTGCCACCCTTTATTTTCTCATATTCAGACAGTTTTCACAGTGACCCATCGATTCAGACATTTTTACTTTTATTTTCAAATGTTACGAGACATTTTGCGACCTCGAGACTCAAATATGCAAATATCTATACTTTTTTCACCTCCTTTATAGGAGATCGATATTTAACATTTAGTAGCCAACCACGATTTTTCACCTCCTTTACAGGAGATCGGTATTAAGCATTTAGTGCCAACCACGATAACATTCGAAAGCTCTCGGATATTTACATTGCTTGCATCGTAAATGAGCGAGGTGTTAGATTATATATTCATATTGACCTAGGGTCATATGCATACATCATTTTCCATAGTCCATTGTGCCTCACTTTTTTCTCGTGATCACATGACAATCTTTCAAAATGAAAGTCAAAATGCCAGAATCGGTGGGTCACTGTGAAAACTGTCTAAATATGAGAAAATAAAGGGTGGCAGGTAGGTGAAACTTACATAAATGAAGAGATAAATGAAAAATGAACAAATTGATACCCGATTTATATAATTCCAAAGCCGTCCGTTGGCACCAGAAGCGACGAAGCAGCGCATCTATTTTGGACGGGCAAATATCCACTTTTTGATATGGGACGAGCTCTGACGTCCCACGGCCCCAGCTTGTCTGGCAAAACAGCCGTTGGACGTCAGAGTAATCTCGGACTAAGTAATCAAATGTTTTGGTATAAATACGGCCAAATTTGCCAACAGTTTATGATAAACCTTAATTCACAATTTTGTCTAAAAAGCAATAATAATTATATCTGTAGATAGCCTGCAACTTTGAAATAGAGAGGCTCTTCTGGATCTCTATAATGTAGAACTGTTGTATTTAACTTCCTTGTTATTGTTCAAAGAAACATTTAATACGTATACACTATTTACATTACTTGTCATTGAGCAACAAAAATATGGCAAGCCGTTCTCGTCAAAGCTATGTTTAAACCATTTTTTCGAAAAAATTACACACTGAGAATTTAAAAAATCACACTGAGATTTAAGAACCTTAAATAACACACTGAGAAATTGAAATTACACACTGAGAAATCGAAAATACACACTGAGATTTTATAATTACACACTGAGATGTAAAAATATGAAAAACACACACTGAGAATTTAAAATTACACACTGAGATTTTAAAAAGACGCACTGAGATGAAATAGATTGAAAAACAAACACTGAGAATTGTTAATTACACAATGAGATTTCAAAAATACACACTGAGATTAATATGCAAATTACTAATGAATATTCATGAGATGATTATAATTCAACAGATTAATATCTTGGTCTCCCGAACTCTTGTCATTATAATGAAATGCGGTTCCTACAACCAACATTCGTAATAAATTTCAAGACTTAACAAATTTTTTTGCTAACTCGTATTCATAAGTTTTTTTGCCTATAATTCAGATTATTACTAACAGTATATCGGGATCTTTGCTTGAAACTGTTTAAGCATGGTCCCTTTTCAAAAGTCTTTCAACTGTTACCCTGATTTCGCAAGGTAATTTTTTTATATTTTTGTTACGTATATATGCTATTATAGGCACTTGGGGAAAAAAATCACTGCATTGTTTGTATTTTTGCAGATTGTTCCAATGTTTTCTTATAATTTTAATAAAGTTTTCACCATTTTGGTTATATTTTGTAATGAGAGTAAGTGGGTATTTTTCTTGTTCTATTGGTCTTTAATAACGTAGTTTTTCTATACGTTGTATTTTTAATGTTTTTTATAAATCATTTAGCGCCAAATTGAAGGACTAAAGAGTTCTGTCTCCTTGTTGTTTTAAGCTTGTAATAGATTCAGATTAATTATGCTAATTAGATATGTGCGCATAAAAAGTGCGCACAAATCTCAGTGTGTAATTTTAAATTCTCAGTGTGTAATTTCAAATTCTCAGTGTGTGTTTTTCAGTTTATTTCATCTCAGTGTGTCTTTTGGAAATCTCATTGTGTAATTTTCAATTCTCAGTGTGTGTTTTTCATTTTTTGTAATCTCAGTGCGTTTTTATGAAATCTCAGTGTGTAAATTTTAATTCTCAGTGTGTGTTTTTAGGTTTTTTAATCTCAGTGTGTTTTTTTTTAATTCTCAGTGTGTAAATTTTTCGAAAAATGGTTTAAACATAGTTTTGACGAGAACGGCTTGCCATACAAAAACGTACCTTCCATATCATTAGATGTTAGAAATAATTATCTTTTCCAAGGATATAAGGTTTCAATTTTTGATTTTTTGAAGAAGAAAAAAGTATATGAATAGTCCTTTTGAATTTCAAGTCGTCTTTTTCGTCCATTTTACATGGAACATTGCCAGCTGACTAATAAGTTGCAATTCATAATTAAATTTAAATCTACCTACACTTTTGAAAGAAATAATATATCCTTAGAAATGCTTTACTGAATTCCATCTTTATAAAGTCAATCAATAATGTTAAAATAGTTTTCTATGTACTATAGTTTGTCGATTTAACCTAACTGTTCGTTCATGCATTCACAAATCACTAGGAATATACACCTGTTGTAACAGTTTGAAGTTACATGATAAATCCAAAACCTTTCAATTATGCGACATTTTTAAGCTGGTAATTATTTTTTTTTTTTATTGGTTTGAAATAATGTGTAGTGTTTCATCATAAATAAAGTTTAACTATATCAATAGTAGGAAGTTGGGGTATGCATTGTTTCTTTTGTATTTTTGTCTTTAATTTTTTGGTAAGTACCGATCTGATGATTACTATCAAACTGATGTTTACCGTTAGATCTTATTTTTTGTTGTTCCACTTAGTACTGTTCCATGGATATGAACACACACATGTTAAACCTTACCATGTTCAGTATGTGCCCTGTCCTAAGCCAGGAACCTGTCATAATCCAGTGGTTGTTGTTGGTTGTTATCTGTCATATTTCTTTTCGTTTATTGTTAGGGACAATAGTGGTTTACCGATGATCAAATTGCATAAATCTAAAAAAGATATATTTAATTCTAAATTTTAAATTTGATGTGACGGCATGGTAAGTAAAAGTCTGATTACAAACGCAAGTGGATAGTGGGGACTGGTTTTAATCAAACTGGGTAATTAAAATTATCATTCTTTTCGAAGGCCAAAAAAGCTGATTTGCAAGGTATTCCATCTACTTGCCACTATACATCATGTACTGTGTTACAACCCTAGATAAAGCCGATGGAGAAAGCTATATTTTTTATATAGCCTAGTTGTTCGAGTGGTCTAAGGCGCTGGACATGGTGCAAGCGGTGTTGCCACGATGTCTCAGATGCAGGAATTTGAATCCCGCTGAAGGAAGAACAAAAATTTTCTAACGCAAATTTGCAGATCTAACATTGTTTGGCTATATTTGAGACAAAGTATATATAAATTATGTTGTAAGAACTGTATAACCACAGTCAGGCGATCCGATGAAGAACGTCTGTCGTAAAGTTGTCACATGATTAGACATATCATGGAAGTAATATTTAAATATTAAATATTACTTCCATGGACATATATATACATATATTTAATTATATGGCCTTCCAAATATCGATTCGATTCCTAACATCACTGAAGAGACATTAATTGTCGAAATCCGGATATGGCGTACAAATTTTTGCCCCTCATGTTTGCGGTATACCATCTTTTCCGCAAGTTTATTGTTTTCTGTTTGGTATTAAATTTTAATAATTAAGATCCATTTTGTTACATCTGGTGATCCGTTTATTTGGCAATCGCCATGGCAGTCAACAGGGTTTAAGAACATCCGTTGTTCGACCTGCTAGTCAAATGCGTTTTGTTAAAATATACTTTTTCACTTTTTTTGGTCTGTTGGAAATGTTGTTTGTGCTGTATTTAGACCCCTCTACCAAGAAATTTGATTTGCATGCACACGTATAAAAAACTTGCGGTTTTTATCCAACGCAATCATAGGTTTGAACGTTGTTTTCAATTTAGACTTGTTTATATATATATATATAGAGTCTATAAGAATCTACCAACCAGTAAACTTAATAGGTATTGGATCATCAAAATTGACATACTACACAAACAGGGAAAATTATATGAGTCTAAAAGATTGTGTAACAATACCGATAAATAGATGGAAAACATCTATTTATCGGTATTGTTACACAATCTTTTAGACTCATATAATTATTTCTGTGACTGTATCTTGCATTAATTTGTAGGATCCTTTACAATAGATATTTCAGCTGATCTGTAACTATTCCATCTTCATGCCTTATATATCATGTACTGTATTACGACCGGCTAGATTAAAACTGACGAGGAAAGGTAACACCCGGCCACCGAAAGCTTTATTATTGTGAAGCCTAGGTGGTCGGGTGGTCTAGCGCGTCGGATACAGTGCAGGCGAATTGGTGTCACGATATCTCAGTAGCATGAGTTCGAATCACGGCGAGGGAAGAACTAAAAATTTGCGAAAGCAAATTTACAGATGTAACATTGTTGGGCTGATGTTTAGACGAGTTGTACATACAGAATGTACACAGCCATGTATCACCGTCACTGCTGGTGATCCGATGGATAAATCTGTTGTAGAGTTGTCACTGGTTCAGACGTACTTATAAATATAATTATTTCTGTGACTGTATCTTGCATTAATTTGTAGGATCCTTTACAATAGATATTTCAGCTGATCTGTAACTATTCCATCTTCATGCCTTATATATCATGTACTGTATTACGACGCTAGATTAAAACTGACGAGGAAAGGTAACACCGGGCCACCGAAAGCTTTATTATTGTGAAGCCTAGGTGGTCGGGTGGTCTAGCGCGTCGGATACAGTGCAGGAAATTGGTGTCACGATATCTCAGTAGCATGAGTTCGAATCCCGGCGAGGGAAGAACTAAAAATTTGCGAAAGCAAATTTACAGATCTAACATTGTTGGGCTGATGTTTAGACGAGTTGTATATACAGAATGTACACAGCCATGTATCACCATCACTGCTGGTGATCCGATGGATAAATCTGTTGTAGAGTTGTCACTGGTTCAGACGTACTTATAAATATAATTATTTCTGTGACTGTATCTTGCATTAATTTGTAGGATCCTTTACAATAGATATTTCAGCTGATCTGTAACTATTCCATCTTCATGCCTTATATATCATGTACTGTATTACGACGCTAGATTAAAACTGACGAGGAAAGGTCACACCCGGCCACCGAAAGCTTTATTATTGTGAAGCCTATGTGGTCGGGTGGTCTAGCGCGTCGGATACAGTGCAGGCGAATTGGTGTCACGATATCTCAGTAGCATGAGTTCGAATCCCGGCGAGGGAAGAACTAAAAATTTGCGAAAGCAAATTTACAGATCTAACATTGTTGGGCTGATGTTTAGACGAGTTATATATATATATAATTGAGAATGGAAACCGGGAATGTGTCAAAGAGACAACAACCCGACAAACGTGCAGAAAACAGCCCAAGGCCACCAGTGGGTCCTCAATACAGCAAGAAAATCCCGCACCCGGAGGCAGGATTCAACTGGCCCCTTAACAAAAATGTGTACTAGTTCAGAGAAAATGGACGTCACACTAAACTCCGAAACATATATATATATATATATATATATATACGGAAAATATCGAATACACTCCAAAGAGAGAGAGAGACAAAGTGCGTCGACAGATGCAAGCATCTCCTGAAATGCATGCATCAACCACCATGCGAAAACTCATCAAAGATACCATTGTCGAAGATCCTACGGTGACCTAGGGTAGTTTATTTATTTGTCATTTGATCTTTAAGCATAGTTGTCTCATTGGCAATCAAACCATATCTCATAATTTTGATAAATATTAATGAGACAACAACACAACGACAAAAATAACAAAAAGACAACTAGAGGGCAACATACTGCTTTCAACAACACTTTGTGGTCCATACAATTTAACAACCCATGACTTGGTTCCTGACTTGGAATAGGCACATGCATTTGTGCCATGGTTGAAAATGTTTTTTAGTCTGAGTACTTCTCCTTTATTTTCTTTACCAGTTGTTGACCAAAAAAGTTAAAACATCAGCGTACAATTAAAATCAGCGCAGGAAAATAACTACACTCTAAAATAACGGTATACTTTTACTTAAAACACCAGTGTCTCATTGACGAATAAGACAATTGATACATGATACATAAGAAGGGAAAGTTGTTTCTGGATAAAGAAAATACCAAATTTAGAATGGCAAAAGTGCACCTGTTCATTATAAAGATGCTGTATCAAACTTGCTTTAAAATTAAACAACATTTTTTTTCAAATGAGATAATATGGGATGAATATCAATGAGAAAATATCATATAATAAGATGATATTGCGTAACATTTGCACTTTGCATTGAAACAACCTAAACCGACGCTATCCTATGTTTTAATGTAAGACATCCTGCATTTTGTACAACAATTTCATACAATTACCCACTGTTTTTTAAAAGTTTTAATATCAGGAATAAACAAAATAAACCAACAGCTGCTGCTTCCTGAAGTAGCGAGCACATTTTTACCCTGCTTTCAAAATTATGTTCCTGTTTTATTTTCTATTTGTATAAATTGTCATCCTACTGATAGCTGAAATGTGAAGGTTTCTATTGCGTAATTTAGTTTTATGATATAAGGTCTAGATAGACAAAAACTGGTTTAACCTCTACGCAAAAGAAAATGCAGTAAAATCAGTACATGAAAAGCACTTCACTCCAAATAAACGAAATGATTGGTAAAAAAAACCCAATTACAAACTTAAAAGGAATACAAAACAAGACTGTTCGCAGTTAACATGGTTAAAAACAAACTCAAAGTACATAACCTGCTTATATGAAATCGTACCGTCCTATACTCTAATACCGTCGGCTGTACTTGAAATCAGATCCCATGCACTGGCATGTAGTAACTTCATAAATATTACAGAAAGAAGTTATCTTGTGCAATGACAAGAATAATTAAATAAAGATTGAAAGATATAAGAAGATATGGTATGAGTGCCAATGAGACAACTCTCCATCTAAGTCACAATTTGTAAAAGTAAACCATTATAGGTCAAAGTACGGCCTTCAACACGGAGCCTTGGCTCACACCGAACAGCAAGCATATCTAGATATATATTGCTATATATGAAAGATGTATCATACCCGACTTTATTGTTTATCGCAATGAAAGGAGTCTAAAGGACAACAATATACCAGACTAGATTCTATACTATATTAACACGCTCTTCATCACCCCAATTCTTTACAAGTTGCGAATTAATTCATTGGTAATTTTTAAATGAAATTCTAAACATAACATAAAGTAAAAAAATTATTTATAAATTTATTAGGATTTTCAACAGAAATCTTTACAAAGCCAGTGGCTATTACAATTAATATTGTTCGCATTAACACTAAAATAACATAAAAGAAAATTGTTACATGAAAAACACACTAGAAGTACATGACGAATGAACGTATTAGCCTACGTAAAAAAAAACCCATACGAAACGTATATTACTTCAAACGTAATTTGAGGTAATTGTTAAAATCCATTGTAGCTAAACTTAAGTTTAAGCTTATATCAGCCAAATTGACAATAGCGAACTAAAGCAATAAATCTTGTGATGTTAGCTCAAAACTTTCCGGTACGTCACTGGACGATAAGTAAACACCAATGAATCTGATTGAATCTTAATTGAAATTGTGCTGCATGCATACTGTTGTGTTGTAGCCTCGGAGTATTATATAGACAAGATAGTACTTCTATGTTTGTAGCAAGCGATAGTGGCTGTCGAACATGATCTATTCAAAACAAATATAAAAAAAAATACAACAAACTCCAGTCGGACTTTGCGCAAATTCAAAACATTCTTATTTTAAATTTGTTACTTGACTGGCTGACTGAATTTACCAAAATGCAAAAGATTATTTTGTTTTATGTGGAAATGTGTATATTGTAATTATCTGTACCCCACTAACTGTATATGCGTAAACACTTATAGCCAATAGCAAACATGATAAAAGTCAAACGTCCGGTAATACCAACAACTGTCAACATATCGGACACACACAGTGAATTTGGTGCAAATACAAAATGTGAAGTGTGTAACTTAGTTTTGGCTGCCTAGTTTTCATAACCCACGATTTATAACCTGTAGAATAATTGTTAACAGATCATTTATGTAAATTTAACAAAAAAACTTTATTCATAACATCCGGTTACAAAGAATACTTAATATATGGTTCTGTTTTTGTATGTTTATAAAGATTTTCAAGTATTTACAAACCTTTAGTCTCCTAAACTTTATCTATTTTCTAAATGATGTATAATCCAAAAAGATCTTCGAAGAGAAATTTGCAATGTTGAACTTTATTTTAATTCTGGTATCTATGATGAATTTATTCATATCAGGTTCAAGTCAAGTGTCAAAGAAACTAAATATTGAATATAAAGGAAAAGAAAACTTTCAAACGAAACAAAGCAGCAAAATCCAAAAGTTTGAAATTGATATAAGCCTAAATTATCCTCTGAATATTAAGATATGTACAACTTGTTAATGATATACTTAAACCTCCACTTTAGTGGCATCATTTGCAGTGGAAAAACAATACTAAATGACTGACTACCATGATTATATAAAAAGACCTCTCTCATATTACATGTCATGAACACTAAGTAATAAAAAAGGAAAGAATATAAACTAGTATCTATAAAATTAAGAATGTCGCAGCGCCTGGATATGTATGATGTATCCTTCATATAAAGTTCATTTCACAGTTTGACAAAATACTGAAACGGTCCTCAAAGAGTACTAAACAAAATTCACGTCAATTTTGCGCCAATCCTTCTTTCCTCTCCCTTTATTTCTTCGTTTCTTCTTTTCGTTCTGCGGTTTGTATTCTAATTCAACTATATCGTTGTTTGGTTCTGCAATATCGGTCTGAAACATCAAAAAAGATTGTTATGAAATGACACGAATGATAGATGGTAACTCGCGGGAAGAGGTAGATAAACTATAAACTCTAAAGAGACTGTACCAGTCACCTGATCATTTATTCTATTTAAGATTTAGGTTAACAACATAGTCATTGGACTTTTTGTTTTAAGTTGACCCCGAATGATAATGAAGTTCAAGTTTCCAATTGACCCTGTCAATTCAGCGGAAATGAGTACAGAACTAAAATTATGGTAGTTGCAGTCGAAAATTCTATTCTTAACAATTTTGGCAGCAATGTATGGAGTTGGATTGAGTGATCTATTACATATTCTAAAGACGACCATCAATGAATAATTGAACTAATGATACTCCCACCCTAGTGACTGCTAGATTGCAATCATATTGTCCGTCCGTTCCTCTGATCGTCGGGTCGTTCGTCCAAAAAATATTTTAATCACACTTTTTCAAAGTACTACTGTGCAGAATGTAAGTAGCTTGGCAACGATGATTTGTAACGTCCGAAGACTTTTTGGATCTGTCAGAAACATACTTCTTGTTTGCCGATACTTTGGATTTTTCACACGTTGAATGAACTTAATATTTTCGTCACTTTAACACTGTTTAACCACGCCACATTCTGTAGGTGCCTGTCCCAAGTCAGGAGCCTGTAATTCAGTGGTAATGTTTGTAGTTGTATATCATATTTGTTTTCGTTTATTTATTTTTGTACATAAATCCGCCTGTTTGTTTTCTCGAATTGTTTTACAATCGTCAGTTCGGGGCCTTTTATAGTTTACCTTTTTGCGGTATGGGTTTTGATCATTGTTGAAGGCCGTGGAGAGTTGTCCAATTGGCAATGATACCACAATTTCTTATTTTTATATCAAAACATTTTGATATAGATTTTAGACTCTGTAGCTTTGAAAAAATACACCATACGAGTAAAATTAATCGTAAATTATACTGAATTGCTCCAAGTGATTTTTATGGTAATACATAAACCAGATTTAACAGTCAAAGTTCAATACCTTTTATTATACCTTTTTCGATAAATGACCATTTTAATACTGATTGATTGATTGATTGGTGTTTTAACGCCTCTTTCAACACCATTGTGCTATCTCGGGGGGTCAGTTTTTGTTTGTGGAGAAAACCGGAGTGCCCGGAGAGAACCACCGACCTTCGGTAGGAAAACTAACAATCCTAGTCAAGTAAGATTGGAGTCCCGTGTGGGATTCGAACTCACATCCTCAGTGTTGACTGGCTCGTGATACAGTAGTTCGACTACTTAGACCACTCGGCAACCGAGGCCCTTCATTTTGATACTGTGATGACGATGTAAATATAAGAAACGAATGACACATTTGATGAACTATTAACAAAGATCTAAATAAAACAGACACAATCAGATATACGTTTTAAAACTCCGATGAGGGCTGTTGGACATAATTATGTTGGCAAATAAGTAGCATTCACAAGGTGTCATAATGCTCAAAAAAGTAAAACAAAATCAATCTAAAAAAATGCTTAAGACTCTGATGAGTGTTGTCGTACATAATGATCGCAAATAAGTAGCATTCACAACGTGTCATACTGCTCAAATAAGTAAACAAAAATAGTCAATCTTAAAAATGCTTCAGATTCTGATGAGGGCTGTCGTACATAATGATCGCAAATAAGTAGCATTCACAACGTGTCATACTGCTCAAATAAATAAAAAAAAAGGTCAATCTAAAAAATTGTTTTCCACATCATCTTGTGGTATATAGTATAGTCAATTACACATCCTGACAAACAATCTTACCAAGTATGAAAGCTTTAAGGCAAACGGTATCTGAAGAGTATGAGAGACAGACAAATATTTTTTCTATATTCCTCATTCGAGAAGACAAATAAAATGTTGTTGGAAGTCTATTTCACAAAAAGCTTTTCGATAACTTTGAAATCAATAAAACATGGGAAGACCTTTAATATATTCTTGAGATATAAACATAATGGTATCGGTTCGTTTCATTGTAATTGGAAGCTCTTATAATTAAAAGAAAATGTTCAAATGTAAAAAGAATACACAGTATGTTAACTGGTGAAACGCTAACTCTTCTTATGATACAGGTAACACAATTAATAGATTTTTAAAGTCGGTAGCCATACCAATTTTAAAAGAAAAATGAAACTAGTCATATATTATAAGAAATTGTCTGTTAAACCATGTTATATTAAATATTCATGCAAATGCATATTGCCTTTTTTCATTATTTATCGAGAGAATTGCATTAGAAGCTTGTTATACTGATATTTTTCTAAATGTTATTCTTAGCTGTATTTCGATAAACAGAATAGTAAAAAAGCGACAGCTCTTTCCTAAACCTGTTTAGAGTGTTAAACATAGACCCTAACATGGAATAATTTTCCGCAATCTACTTATTTTCTACAACTAATATTTAGAGCAGGCTGGTGTGCTCATTATCAACTATCCATTCAATATACACATATTGTCTTTTAATTATGATAACGATTAAAATGCTATGTCAGTTTATGTTGAAAAATTTAAGGGAAAATAATTTTATATAAAATGATTATCAGTTATAATGGTTTACTCAGCAAGTACAAGAAAAATTAAACTCGTTATGTTTTAGACATTTCAATATTATTTTACAATTATTCAGTTATTATTTGTATTCAAATATGACTACTTTTGATTGCCTTTTATTAAACAAACACACCAATACAAAGCGTTTTATTAACTGTCTTCAAAATAATGTGGGACAATCGCAACTCTTTAAATTGCAAAAAGTGGGACGTTTGGATGTTACCTTAAAATCAAGATTGTCATTTCACAACGTTTTACCAGGCAGATATATAAACTTCAGTATGCAAAGTAAATAACAATGTTCGAGTAATAATGAAATATGATACTAAGTTATTGCAAGTAAATACTGAAATATACAGCTCAGTCAAGACAATCGAAAGATCTTGGACTATCTATTTTCCTTAAAAATAAATTAAATATAATTGTCAATTGACAGTTTATGCATAAAACATCGAAAGAATTAAAGTAAACATCTGTCCTCAATATCATTCACAGTAAGACACAAATATGAATAAAAGGAGATGTCCTAATGATGCATACAATGTAAAATAATATGTTACGTACCTTAAGCTTTACACTGGATAATTCTTTCACACTGTCTCTCAATTTAGATTTAAGCTGTACAAGTTGTTGCAACTTTTTCTCTACAGCTTTTGTTATCTTCCATTGTTTTGATTTTATCATTTCAGATAAATCTGTGTTACATTCCTCAAAACGTGTAAGCAGTTCGCTTATTCTGATTTCATCTTCCCCATACCTTTCACTTATATCGCCGGAAGACAATTCGTATTTTGTTATGAACTGACGAATTTTTTCTAGACCGGGTTTTATATTCTTCTTATAATCTTCATAAAATATCTGTACCTGTTTCATTTTTGTCTTATGAGAAAGGGATTTGGAATGTTCTTCGAATGATTGTATGGTCAATAGTGCTTGATCGTCAGAGGTCGATGACAAAGACCTTACAAAATATTTATTCTCCTCTGATTCCAACGAAATTGATCTCTGTGACATATTTTGAGGAGAATGACTTGAAGCGAAATCGACAAGTCGTTCATTCGGTATGCGAGATTGAGCTTTTGTTGATGTTGCAACTGGTAAATTTTCCTCCGTTGTGGAAGACAGAGATCCAGCTATTGATTTCAAACTCATTGAAACAGTTGGTGATGACGGACTTTCATGAGCACGCTCATGATTTGTGGTTATTCCAGCACCGTCTTCTTCCTCGTCGTCACCGATACATTCAAAAGTACAGCCACACACGTCACAGGCTGCTTCATTTACAGACAAAACAGGAAAAAAAGGATCCTCTAAAAATTCTTCGTACCCAATAGTCACTTTAGATTGTAGGTTTTCATTAGCCTTCAATGTTTGCAATATGAAATCTTTATTTTTTTTCTTTTCGACTGTCACATGATCTTTACGAACTGTTTTGATTTCTTCCTCGTCGATTTCAATTTCTTGTTGTATTGTTTGAATTTCCTCGTTTGTTTCTTCAACAGACAGAGTAGGATCTGATAAAATTGTAATAGTTCGTGGAAGGAAAAAACCCTCTCTAGTATTAAAGACAGACTCAATTTCGACTTTTGAAATACGTTTCTTTTGATTTTCCCATACACATTTTGTCAAGCCATCTCCTCTTTGCTTTAGTAAATTGTTTACACACATGCAGATATCTGCAATACCCGTAGAATGCTGTATTCCATATATAACTTCAGAAATGTTTTTGGGATATGTTTCATAACGTTTTAAAAGAGCAAATTCCTTCAGAAGCAAAGATTCAAGTTTGTAGGATAAGCCTTCTCCCATATTAATGATGTATACCATATCAAGGATATAACATCTTCTGCCATGTCAATAATTGATGACAGAGCTTCATCATCTGTCATTAATTGTCCGGTCGAATCCTGTACTTTTAGATATTCATCCAGACGCTTGAATACTATTCTAATGATATTGATATTTCCTCTAATTCCAGCCATTATCTCTATATTTTTTACCAAACAATCTGATATAGCGTCGCTATTTGACACTATTTTGCATTCGCCTATCATTTCTTCGGTTGTCCATTTTGTTGTATAAAAACAACATAGCTCGATGAATTTCGAAGTAGTAAAAAATGAAGACGGAATGACAAACTGAAATTTCTTCCCAGAGTTATTCATTCCATAAAATTTCGACTGCATACTAAAGCCAACTAAAGTGAAATATCTAACCCATATTAAAAGCAATGTCAATTCTGGTATTGTTTCTTTAGTTTGTCGTATATTCATTCTCTCTATAAAAACACTAAACTGTTTCAATGCGTTGAACGGATTGTGGTGAGACTTTAAACAATCAAAACTGTCCTTAAAGGAACGGACAATGGAAATTGCAAATGGATTGTCTACATTTATCTTAGAGATAAAGCCACAGATATAGGCTTTCGTTCGACTTAAAATATGATCCTTCCTTTCGTTCAACACCATCCTCTCGAGATTTGTCAGACTTTCACTCAGATTTTGCTGCAGACCAAACATTTTGTGAAAGAAAATTACTTCGAATATTCGAGCAACACTTTTCCCTCTCTTTTTAGAAGATACCAATTCTGATTCAAAGTAAATTTCCATTTGGGGTCGTACATTGGTCAATGATTTGAACAAGTCAGATTTTGCATTACTAATGTGCATTATAGTATAAATCAAGTCTTCCATTAATCTTCTGCACTCCGAAAATGGAAAACTTCTGTGGTCAAACTGAATCAAAATAAGTTTTTGCTGTCTGTTAAGACCAAGCTTTGTATTACATTCATTTAAAAAAAATTCTAGCTGTACGTTGTGCATATCTAAACGAATGAGCTTCAAAAATTTACTATGAGTGAAAGAAACTTGGGTGATACTGACTTTCGGAGACCCATTTCCAATGTTTTTCGATTTTTCTGTCAGCTTGGAAAGCGTTTTCAGTTTTTGTCGTTCTTCCTCGATTGTTTTTCTTATTTTACGAAACCATACTTTGGCTTTTGTTAAAAGGTCTCCAACAATCATATCATAAATAGCAGGTATATTATCAACAACTTTTTTAACAGTTTTGCGGGTTACTGAATCTCGAACATTTTTCAGTATTTCAAGAATACGAGGTTTGTGGACAGGATTGTATACAAAATGCCCTATTTCAGTTTCTATTGCATAATCCTTCAAAAACTGTTCCTTTTTTCGTTTTGTAAAATTTGTTGATAGTTTTGTTAATGGAGCTAAGAATGAAAAGATATTTAACAAGTTATTCATTCCTATCATAACTTTTGATAAGTTCGTGTCTATTTTTAGGTTGGAATTATTAATCATCCAACTAAGACACTCCAATTTTCCTTCTTCATTTTGATGCGGCATTCTTTTCACAAAACAACTAAATGCAGTTCCAATAAAACTTTGCTGGCCTGTAAGTCTTCCCAAAAGCAGGTTTGAATGAGCAATCTCGTCTATGATTTTCCCATAATTGCATTTTCGGTCTTTGTACTTGTCTCTGCATTTATTGAAGTAATAAATTGCTTCTTCTAACTGTACTGTCATCTCCTTTAGACTTGTACTATAAGTACATATAGCACTTCTATCAGGTTTAATGGAAATTTTTATGAGAGAATCTAAATATAAACATCTGCCTATCATATATGTTTCCTTGTCTTTTCTAAACAACGGTAGTGCTTCCTGTGTATAACCGTAGTCAACATATAGACTGGCCGCTTTTCTTGTCTGTCCTAGAAGTTAAAAAAATGAAATCCTATTTGAAATAGTTTCATCAACAAATATATCATAGCTATTATAAAAATTTATAAGTTTGTAGTCAAACATTCGCGGCAATGACTAAAATGACCGATAGGTTCCTATTTTAAATAATTTTTACTCTAACACTTTTTGCATACAATAAATTACATTGTAAATTGAAAAGTTCATGTACATCACTTAGTTTTAATGATGTAGGTCATTGTTTGTTTATTATTTACTTTATACAAGCATCACATTTTGTTTTTTGTTGAGATTGTAAAGTTTTTTTTTTTATGGAATTACACATAAAACAGACTTTGAATTAACCTCATTACATACAATATAAATAAGAAAATGTGGTATGAGTGCCAATAAGACAACTCTCTATCCAAGTCACAATGTATAAAAAGTTAACAATTATAGGTCAAAGTACGGCTTTCAACACGGAGCATTGGCTTACACCGAACAGCAAGCTATAAAGGTCCCTAAAATGACTAGTGTAAAACAATTCAAACAGGAAAACCAACGGTCTAATCTATATAAAAAACGAGAAACGAGAAACACCTATGAACCACACCAACAAACTACAACCACTGAACAACAGGCTCCTGACTTAGAACAGGTGTATAAAAATGCAGCGGGTTTAAACGTTTTAACAGGCGCCAACCTTCACCCTAACCTGAGACAGTAGTGTAACATTACAAAATAAAAGACACACTATAAAATAGCAATTGAAATGGCTTAACTCGATCAAAAAGACATTTAAACAAAAACAAGTAAACACATACAAGTTCATATTGCTACACATGCACAACCAAATATTCTTAGTTCGTCAATGGTGTTTTTATTGAAGATATATTCAATGACATGAAGGAAAAAATGGTAGTCCATGAAAATCTGCTACTCGATCTGTCAATTAGTAAATTTATGTTTTATGTAAACAAACAGTTTGGTAGGTTTTCATGAGACTGGTTTTTATGATTTTTCTACACGGTTTAACAATTGGAATACAGTAATTTACTGTTTGACAAAACTAGAAGGTTCCATTAATAGCTGGTTTAGAAAACGGAACTTGATACTTACCATTTTCCAAATAAATAGATGCTGCAAGCTTTATATAATCATTTTCACCATCGAAACTTTCTTTCAGGAACATCACTCTAGAAGGAATATCACGAATTCTATGCAATGCTTTTTTTCATTTCGTCGCAGTCTTTCTGTTTATGATAATACTCAGCTGCATTTCTATTTATTTGGTCCTCAGTTTGATTATCACGTAATTTTGGTTTTTCCAGTTCGGGGTTTTCCTGAATCATCAAAATAGAAGTTAGAAGTGTGCATAGATGGACAGTTGTACGAACTTAAAACAATTCTGCATCTAAATGTGAGAATGTGATATACATGTACACCTTTAATCTCGTTATTGATTGATTAATGTTTAATGGCGCTTTCAGCACTAATGTGCTATTTCGTGGCTATCAGTTTTTATTGGTGGAGGAAACCAGAGTGCTCGAAGAGAACCACCGACCTTCGGTATGAAAACTGACAATCCTAGTTAATTAAGATTGGAGTCGAGCACACCTGCCACGTGAGGGATTCGAACTCACAAACTCAGAGTTGACAGGCTAGTGATACAATAGTTGGACTTCTAAGACCACTTGGCCACCGATTCCCCTAAATCGTTTGATGAAAACAAACACTAATAGAAAATAAAGCAAGTTGATGTGTTATATCTTTTTAAACATTACTATTGAAAATATATTCGGATTAGTTTGCAATCACAAGAAGTATATTTTTCAAAGTTGACACTGACTAAGTGGTCTCTTGGTAGCGGTTCCGCCTACAGTGCGTGATTTCGTGGGTTTGATGCGTAGCCGTGTCAAACCAAAAACTTGCTGCTACTCCGCTTAGCACAAGCCATTGACGGGTTTCGACAAAGACTGACCGGCTCGGAGTCAGAACAATGTTACCGCGTGATATAGCAAGTTAAAAATCCAACTCAGCGTGCTGGCCTAGTTGTATTTTAATCATATGCTAGCAGCGTATTTCCTGAATCTAGTTATATCTGTTACATTTAGCCGTATATTCCTATTTCTATCTGTAATTTTGTAATCTATGTGTGAAGAGATGGACGGATGTACAAACTTTAGACAATTCCGCATTTAAAAGTGAGAAATTGATATACACTTTTAAAACTCGTTAGATGAATACCAACTCTCGGAGAAAAAAAAGAAGCATTTAGATGTGTTCTCTTTTATACATTACTATTAAAATATATAAACATTAGTTTGCAATCATTTAGAATAATTCTTCCTAATTTGAGACTGCCTCGGTAGTCGAATGGTAGCAGGTGCGCATTGAGTGCTCGATGTCGAGGAAACGACCCCGGCCATGTCAAACTATACTTAAGACTTATTTTAAAGATTATTTTTATATTTAGATTTGTAATATTTCAGAAGAAAAAGTGATAGTGACATTGCTATGACATATGCCTGTTTTAAATATTTTCTCACCTGTATAGTTTTTTGATATCTTTTTAGTGAATGAATAGCTTCTTCAAACTGTTTGTTTTCAAGAAGTACATCAATGGATTTTTCGAAACGTCCTGCACGTTCATAATACTCGCAACTTGCCAGCGGTTTCTTTGTTCTTCTATACATTTCAGCCGCTTTTTCAAACTATTGAAATAATGGAAGCTACATTATAAAACATGACATAGTGACAACAAAGTATAAACTATATCGGCTTTGGTTATACTATTGGTCCTTTTTGATTTATAAGCCCTTGATCTTTTGGATTTTCAAATATTTTGACCTCCAACATCTCTGAAGAGACATATATTGTCGAAATACTGATGTGGTGCAGACAAATTGGTACCGGTATTGTTAATGAACAAACAAAAATTAGATTTCAACATTATATCAAAATGACTTTTTCATATTTTGTTAATTGGGGTTTCTATTTATGTAACATTACAATTCCTTCCCTGTTTGATTTTAAAAAGTTTAACACAACAGAGCCTAACTATTTAAATAGCTTTCATTTAATGGAGTGTTATATATGATTGGCATATATATAATTACAGTAAAGTTTGCTTTGAACTGGTTAAGTCAGGGTGGAATTTACCCAAAGAATTTGCTGCATTTATTTTTACATGTATAATCCATTTCAAAAAATATCTGAGTCCCCCAAATACAATGAAAAAAAACAGGGATTACATGTGTGTGATGTAAATTTGTGTCAAACCATTTTAATAGGTCAGCAGATCTCAATTATAAAAAAGTTGTGACGAAAGATCTAAGTTCATTCCCCCTATTTGAAATTAAAACTAAAAGTATGTGTAGGTATCTGACAGATCCGAAAAGTGCTCACACGTAAAAACTCCTCACTTTTACAAAAGAAGAATAGGAGAAAAGTGTAAATGATTTTTTTTTGGACGAACGGACGGAGACGGTGATGCAATAGATTCGCACTCCAAGAGTGGGTGCATGATAAATTGTGATATGAAAAATGAGACTTAAGGTAAATCTAAATGATTATATGAAACCGTTAAAATGTATTTCTTATAGGTTTTAATTTTACAATAGGCTCTCAAATGGTGAAATTGTAAGATTAAAAATAGAAAAACAAATTAATGGAGCAAGCAAATATAGTCTTTTAGGCAAATAATTTCTCTTAATTTTAGTTTTAAGAAAGAAGATATTGGGAAATTTGTCTAGTCCAATCAAATTGTGTGCATGTACTTTTTTTCGGTTATCAGAACCTTAAATTGATTTTGCTGTTTATTATGGAAAGCCGTTCTTGTCAAAACTATGTTTAAACCATTTTTCGAAAAATTTACACACTGAGAATAAAAAAAAAAAACACACTGAGAATTAAAAAAAAAAAAACAAAACATACTGAGTTTAAAAACCTAAAACACACACTGAGAATTAAAAGTTCTCTCACTTTTACAAAAGAAGAATAGGAGAAAAGTGTAAATGATTTTTTTTTTGGACGAACGGACGGAGACGGTGATGCAATAGATTCGCACTCCAAGAGTGGGTGCATGATAAATTGTGATATGAAAAATGAGACTTAAGGTTAATCTAAATAATTATATGAAACCGTTAAAATGTATTTCTTATAGGTTTTTTATTTTACAATAGGCTCTTAAATAGTGAAATTGTAAGATTAAAAATAGAAAAACAAATTAATGGAGCAAGCAAATATAGTCTTTTAGGCAAATAATTTCTCTTATTTTTAGTTTTAAGAAAGAAGATATTGGGAAATTTGTCTAGTCCAATCAAATTGTGTGCATGTACTTTTTTTCGGTTATCAGAACCTTTATTTAATTTTGCTGTTTATTATGGAAAGCCGTTCTTGTCAAAACTATGTTTAAACCATTTTTCGAAAAATTTACACACTGAGAATAAAAAAAAAAAAAAACACTGAGAATTAAAAAAAAAAACAAAAAAAAAAAACACACTGAGTTTAAAAACCTAAAACACACACTGAGAATT